CCCATATCATCTATATTAACTGTGTAAACTTTTTTCAATGCTTTTTTCTTTTTAAAATAACCCAACGATCAACAAAGATTTATTTTCCCCAATTGTGGCTCTGAAATGGAAGTGGAAAATGCAAGAGGAGGACAGAACGTTAGGTTTCTATGGTGCAGTGGGTGAAAGGGGAATAGATATATAAAGAAGCTAACAAGAAAAGAACATACTGGAGGGCAAAACAAGCTTTTCCTACTAAAGAATTCCCTCCATTTTTTCACTACCATGATCTGTCCATTGAACGAGGGATGTATTTTGGTGGGCCCAGAAGGATAGGTCATCCCCCGACATCTCCTCCCTCTTCCTCTGTCCTTCCAATCAAACAACTGATTTAGCCTCTCCTTCTATTCCTCTCCATCCACCCATTAATCCCTCCCTCCAACTAAACGAAGGGTTCGATTTCGAGCTTGAGTCTACTAGAAGGATTCATCGGGTTATTCTTTTATAATAAAACTCAAAAAAAATTTAAATTTGAGTTACAATTTTATTTAAGTTCATATTTTTTTTGTAAAATTTGAGTTTGAACTTGAGTTTGAATTCGAGTTTGAACTAGAGTTTGCAGCTAAATTCGAGTTCAAGTTTCCCCTTTAATTCGAGTTTATAAACTCGAACTCAAGTTAATGAATAATATTTTTTCTATTCTTAAAAATGTCATAACTTTTTCGTTTTAATTGTGATTGAGATGATTTTTTTTCTATGCATTCACAACGAAAAGACGAATAAAACCTCACCCATATACCCTATTAAAATTTTTCATCATCATTGAGTTTTTATTAAAATACTATCTAAATACAAATTTAAGTTTTAACTCACCCAAACACAAACTTAAAAAGATTCTCAATTCAAATCATAACTCAAATGTGCACATATAAACACAAACTCAAGTTACAATTTCAACTCAAGTTATAACTCAAACTCAACTCATTATTATCACTCAAGTTACCATAACTCAAAAATGCAAAAGAACAACCCCAATTAATGAAACTTGAAACTTATAAGGAGCTTTCTACAGAATGTATCCTTATTAATTGTTGAAAAAAGTGTGTGTGTTGTCCCACGTGGAAAGTAAATGAGAATGTATAGTGATTTATATACATAGAAGGACTCAAGACCTAATAGATTAATCTTTTGAGGCAAGCTGAGCTCCTAAAGTGTGTTGAATCAGTTTCACATGTGGTGTCTCTCCAACATTAATAAGTACGTGTTTATAAACATTAAATATGATCAAATTATGTTAACATAAAAATATATAATTAATAAAATTTGATACATATCATTAGATATGACACATAATTAAGGAGTATAATTATAATAAAACATAAAATTTTCCAACTTATAGACTATCTCAGATTCTCAATAATATTCCCCCTATTGAGAAAATTGTAGAGCTTATTAATCAAAAGGATATTAAAAATAAAAAAATAAAGAGTAAGAGGTAAAAATTTAAATCAATGCACTTTAAGGAGCATTTGTTAAAAATCTTTCTTGAAATAGAGTCTATTTTTATTTTCAACCCTTAATATTAGTTCATATATTTATACATTTTATATTAGAACTAGTTAAGACATATAATTTTTTAAAATGAATACTTTTAACAAGTCATGTACTTAAAATATGTAGAATCTATAGGTGTGTTTATTTGTACAACTCAAGTTATGATTCAAATATTGCTACAATATTTTCTCTCACATAAATTTAAATTTAATTTTTTTATTACAATATTTTTTTTCTCACACGTATGACTCAAGTCATAACTTGAATTGTACAAATGAACAAATCCTATAATTTTCTCTTTTCTCTATCCTATTTGAGGGGAAAAAGTTGCACCTAGGGCCATATTTATTCTGCACTTGACATTACTAAAGGGTTGTTTAGTTGGGGGATTCGTACCCCGATTCGAATCATAGTTCATAATTCGCTACAGTATTTTTTCTCACAAAATATACACGTAAATCAAAAATAATTTTAATATTATGATTCTAATTCATGAACTAAACATATCCTAAGGCATTAAAATTACATGCTTGGAATTTCATGGCAATACCAACTCACGGCAAACAAAGGCAAAAGAGATTATTGAAACTTTCATTAATTTTTCGCCGACCTATATATGCATGCTAAGGAAAAGGAAGGAATATATATATTAACAGCGTCATCTCTAACGTAGACCACGCCTGCATGCGCTCTTACGTGCACAAAGTGAGCTTTCTTTTTCATTTTCTTTTATTATTTGTCTTGATCATAAAGTGCTCGTTTGAGGCAGCGGCTATTGATGTTGATCATGGCAGCACTGTTTGGTGTCAGGCTCTGTTTAATTCCTTTCTTCTGCGCAGATTGCGGAGACTCTCAAGGGTTTACAGCTATTGGGGGAAGGGCAAAAGGGTGGGCTCCAAAGGCAAAATCGTGCATATGAGGAAAAAATACGCGGATTGAGTTCTTGTGTCCCCACACTTCTGTTCTTTGCGTAACTTTTAATGCATTTAGAAGACGTTTAGTTCATAAATTAGAATTATGTGATTAAAATTATTTTTAATTTATATGTATTTTTTATGAAAAAAAATACTGTAATAAATTATGAATCATGATTCAGTTTAAATCATCCAACTAAATATCCTCTTAAATTAAAAAGAAAATATGTGGAGTCATCACTGGTACTAAATACCACTATTAATAAAACATAGACTCTATATGTAGATTTTACGCTACGAGACTTACGTTCTATTAGTGAATGGTGTTGAGCACTACCGGTATTATATAACAGGTCTGTTCAGTAAATAAGTTCAAAATTATAGTGGTTTGCACTTTTTTTTGTTTGAAATGAAAATTTGAAAAAACGTAGATTAAATTTCTAGTTTAAAATAATGTTGGGATATGCATATGTTTGAAAAGAGAATAAAATCTAGACATCAAAGGTTCAAAATAGGCATAAAAAAACTTACCTTACACTTGCTCAGCTGCTATTTTTGTTTTTAGATGGCTGAATCACTTTCCCATTGACACTTTAATTGATATAAAATGATTTATTTTATGTAGTAATTTTATTAACAAGATACAATATTATTATTAGATGGAGATGGACATAAATAAATAAATAAATGGAGGAAGAAAAGGACACAGAAGTCCAATTCGAAATGTTTTGGAGTAACCTTAAAAAAAAATTATTAAGGGGGGTGCTTTTTCCAGTTGCCATGTGAGTGGACTTGAGCCTATATCATTAGGCACACTACCATAGGCTGCAATCATCATTAGAGACACCACGATCCGAGTAAGATAGTAATTATTCGATTAGCAAAAAAAAAAAAAAAAGAAAAAAAAAAGGAGATAGTAATTATTCACATAAAATCTTTTGTTTGGGATTGTATAATTTTTAACTTAATTTCACGCCCACTAATGATTGCTCTTTGCTTTTTTACTCAATAACAAGTCAAGCTTTAGAGTATAATTTGAGTGTAATTTTTGAGTTAAATTTGAATTATAACTTGAGTTGAAGTTAGAACTTGAATAAAGTTGAATAAAATTGAATAAAGTTGAAACTTAAAAGAACGTGAACTTAAATAAAATTAAAACTTGAGTTGTCTTTTTTTAAATTTTTTAGACAAAAAAAACATGCCCTTAGTCTTTAGCCAACAGAAATAAGAAGGAAAAAAAGAGGGTCAAGCTTAGCCATAGTTCCCTCCCTTGGTGACAAAAGCTACGACATTTGAAGTATGTCCAAGAAATGAGGCCATTTTTATACAGGGGTTTCTCTTGCATGGTGAAAGTATTAATTTTTCATACATAACCATCGTAAGAGAATCGACTCATTAATAGTATAATGTCATGTTAATTAAAACATCAGGCTAATTAAAATATTTCAATTGACGTGGTGAGATCTTATTAAGGGACATAAAAGCTCAGTTCCATTGTGAGCATTCATATTATCTTCAATTTTTATCTAGCACTATATAGTCACATAGAGATAACACATGCACATAGTGATGTACTTGGTGTTGTGAACCTGTTCAATGAAAGAGGTAGAACAAAAGGCTTTTTTTTTTTTTTTTTTTTTTTTTGGGGGGCAAATCAATATTGACAATTTAAACCGTCTAAGAAGATGCCGAGAATCTCTTTTCTGGGCCCTGTCTAATGACTATGAATTGAAAAAGAAAAGGAAAGGAAGCAAAAGAAAAATGAACAAATGATGAACAACTTCAAAAATTAAAGCAGCGGATCAACTAGCACGCCGCAGGGATTTCACATGATGGTGAGTGCTCTAGAATATTTGGTACATCTTTCCCTTGATTTTTTTATGGTTGAGAATTTACCTTGAATTTTTAATTTCCACATACTATCTTCTAAGTTTAACAAAGTGTTACTTGTTAACACGTCCTAAAATCTCTTACAATTGTTAAAATTTGAAAAAAAGAAAGAAAGAAAGAAAAAAACACTATTGTACACTTTACATAAGGTGTGTTCTTTTCATAATTTAAATTCCAATTCAAATTCTTTTATGTGAGAAAAAACACTTTAATAAAATAGTTGAATTTATATATCTGTGAAAAAAAATATTGTAACAAAAGAATTTGAGTTATGAAAAGAATAAAGTTATAAACTCGTTTAAAAAAAAAAAAGATTTCAAGTGCAAACATGTTATGTTAAAATATCGTATTAAAAAGAAAATAAATTTAAAGCGAAAACTGTCTTGTTAAAATATCTTATTAAATTTTACAATAATTTATCAAAACCTTAAATTCATATTGACACGTAAATTATAACCTATGATCAATTAGTAGTAGAAGATCTCAATAATCTCCATCGCATCACCAAGCGGAAAGTAACGAAAGAGCAAAAAGGTCAAAAAAAAAAAATAATGAAAAATAAAATAAAAATTAAAAAGGCGCAGAAAGTGATAATGTCGTTTTTATAGTATCATGAGCCATGCGGATTTGGCTGTCCAGTGTGGCCACTACTTCTTCTACAGTTCTACTACAAAACGTTAACGGAACAAAAAGCCAACAATGGCTTCTTAACAATCAGTATAAAAACACCAACTTGCCGAATAATAACCAACACACAAAAAGAAAAAAAAAATAGCGAGCGCCAAAAGATCAAGACTTTTGGTCGATAAGCCAACGAGAACAAGAAAGAAAAGACCCAATGGGAAATTTCACTCGCAATTTGAAGAGCGCGGTCATTGCGTTTCTCGTTCCTCTTCCCTCCATTCTCTTCTACATCTCTTTCCTCAACCATGAAAGTAATTCTTCATCTCCTCTTTGGAATTGGTGTTACAACCACCCTCTCTTGTTGGCCAACGTCCTCTTCTTCCTCAACGTCAATGTCCTCTTCTGGGTCATCAGCCAAATCCTTTCCAGCCATTGGGTTCGTTGACTTTGACTCTTTCTTTCATTTTTTTGGCTAATTGTTCAGTCTTATTCTTTTCTTGATCTGGGGTTTTCTGTTTTTTGGAAAATGGTTCAGATGATTGACTTGTATTGGACAGTGATACCGGTGATGCTGGTTAACTACTATGCGAGTCACCCGTTGGGTGACTACAATTTGTGGAGATCGAGAGTGGCGATATTGCTGATATGGGTTTGGAGTCTTAGGCTTACTCATAACTATTTCAGGAGGGAAAAGTGGCAGTGGGGCGCCAGGGAAGATTGGAGGTTCACTGATATGAGCAGCCAGTATGGTAAGCATTGGTGGTGGATTTCCTTTTTCGCCGTCTATGTATCACAGCAGGTAACAGTAAATTTCTCTGTTTCTATTTGCTTATTACTGCATCAGATTAGGAAATTTTGAAGCTTGACTTTATTGCCAAGTGACTGTTTGATAAAAGTCCGCTGTGGGATTCTATAGCTCGTTACTGAAAAGTGAGAGATATCAAGGGTGGTGGGTATGACAATTAGTCAAAGATGGAAATGTAGTGTTGGTACATACATAATGTGCAGTGTTACTTGGCTGAGTGGTGCGGGGAGTGGCGGATTCGTTGGCGCACAACATAAAACCTGAAAACGTAGAAGAGATGATGCAAATTTTATAACGATTGATTTCAATATTTGTCAATTTTTTAAGTGGGGTCACAACTAGAATTTTGTTTACTAAGTAGGGTTACAGTTATGATTTTATAAATTTAGCAAAGCACAATTATAATTTTTCAAAAACTTACGTGCATCGAAGAAAATTAAAATCTTAACCCCGCTGAGTTGAAGGTGGCTTTGTCACTGGTGTCAGACACCATTACTCATAATTGGTAAGTCTTGCATGTAGCTGACTTGCACTAAGACCTGAGACTACTCAGTTATGGTGACGTGCACCACCAGCGCTCTCAATTAGCTTTCCAAACTAATCAGAAATTGTCACAAAAACCAATCTCAAAGTTGAAATGTTTTTACATAATGGGTAAAAAATTTATAAATCAATAGTTGTACATAGCGTCACTAGCCAACTAATTGGTGCTTACTGCTTTTATTTTTACCCAACTATTTCAGGTATTTATAATTGGTCTCTCCCTTCCACTGTATGTGATCCACACAGTGGATGAACCATTGAACATCTGGGATTTTGTTGCCATCATAGTTTGCGTCTCCGGCATCGCCATTGCTTTCTTTGCTGACACACAACTCCACGAATTCGTGACTAGGAATGAAAAGTTGAAGGACCTTGGGAAGCCTGTGGTGGCCAATCTTGACAGGGGCTTGTGGCAATATTCCCGACACCCGAACTACTTTGGAGAGCAATTGTGGTGGTGGGGGCTGGTTGTTTTTGCTTGGAACCTCGGACAAGGGTGGACCTTTGTTGGTTCTCTCGTCAATAGTATGTGTTTAGCTTATGTGACTAAGCTCGTGGAAGACCGGATGCTGAAGCGGGCCTACAGGGCAGAGGCTTACAGGCTGTATCAGAAGACAACATCAGTGTGTATACCTTGGTTCAAGTCATCCGCAATAGCAGAAAAAGATAAGGACACATAAATTAACCGATTTTCTTTGCTGTGGCGCTTCTGTAGATCTTTCTATGTGTATTCTCTTTATAATTTATCTTCTTTGTTATGTCAGCGCTTGGTCATGAACTCCGTTGTTTATTTGAAAGAAGGGTTGGATCATTTTCGTTTCATGCTTTGCAATAGATCATCGTATGAAATTGTATAGAATTGATCTTAACTTGTTTAAGATGTTTTTCTTCAAAAACTTTTCGCTTTAGAGGAAGGCTAATATTTAGAGTGGGTTTAATTACGATAGAGATCTAGGATGCTCTTGTGTCGTTTGGTTAGAACAGAGGTTCTTGCTAGTTGAGTTCATAAGCATGTTTGATCTGGAGACCACTAGGGAAAAGAAGTGGTTTCATTTGAGAGACATCTCATATAGAAACCCAACAATGGCCCAATTCACTTAATCCCCTTTGTGGTGGGGTCAAGTGTAAAATTACTATTAGATTATATCGGCAACCACACGAAGACAGCATGTATTTTTCGTATCCAATATGTTCACAAATTTGTCTAATCATTAGGCAGTGGTACTTCCAATTTGAAGAGTTTAGTTGGGATATGTTGATAAACAAACCAGTGACCGGATCATAAGCCCTTTACACCCCTTCCCAGCCCAAAAAAAGGGCCCCATTCTTCTAAGAGAGAGAGAGATAGATAGATATATATATATATATATATATAGAGAGAGAGAGAGAGAGAGAGAGAGAGAGAGAGAGAGAGTGTGTGTGTGTGTATGTGACAGCTATGACAAGGTGTTTGGAATGTGTATGACAAGTGTAACCGTTGAACACCACTTAGTCGTTTTGACATGCCAAACGAAATGAATGTTGCTATTCAGCATTTGAAGCCAAGCAATTAATCGGCAAGAATTTCCTGTAATTATCATCTTCTACTCAACGCCCAAGTGCTTTACATTACATGGGTTAGTTGGCAGCATCACAATTACTACTATCAGCCTTGCTTTTTTTTTTTTTTTTAAGTCTTCTCTTGAACATGGTTATCTACCTAGCAAGTTGAAAGGGAAGAAACAAGGTGGGTGAATTAATAATGTCCAATATTGTAAGGACAATAAATGATTCGCTGAACTTTCAGGGGAAGTAAACGCTTCTGAAGCTGTTAGTTGGAGGCTGTAAATAAGTGTTTTCAATTAGTAAAATCCGAATAAACCACTTCAATTTATGTCAAAGAAATATTTTAGCAAAAAGGGGAAAAAGAAAAAGTTAACAGAAATAAAAAATCACTTGCTCATTTTGCATTCATGCTCATGGACATGGTCCAATTGCAAGCGCGTTAGAAATTTGAATTTTGCTTTAAACAAGTCTTTATTTAATGCTCTTATGATTTCTTTGACTTTTCCCTTGGTAATTAAAATCCTAAGTTCCTAAGCAATGTACAAGTAAACTAAGAATCGGTAAAACCACCAGTTATAAGTTTTTTTTTTTTTCCTTAAAAATGTTTGGTAACATGTTCCGAATACGATCATATACTTCTGACATTTGAGAAAAGAAAATAAAGCAAAAAACAAAAACGCAAAAAAACCAAAAAAAGTTAATTAATGTCTGTGTACTCTTTCCTGTCCGTGAATACATATATTATTGTGTTTTGCTCGTTTTGGTTGCTCACATGTTCAAGATAAAGATTGACATATCTAAGGAACGAATTTATCTTAGAAAATACTGTACGGTTTATAACAGAGGAATTCCAAAATATGGAAAAATAACTGGTATTTTACTTTACTTTGTCCATAAATTTCCACGTCACGTGCTATTTATATAAAAAATAAAATAAAATAAAGCTTGGACGAGCATGCACAACACTTCTTGTCAAAGTTCACGTATATCACTAGGTATATACTCTAGAAACAAATATTAAAATCGTTTTATTAGCAAACAATAATAAATAAAAGGAGAGATATTTTTGTTGTTATTAATGACACGAAAGTAAAATCCAGACAGCTATGACTATGAAAATAAGATGAGACCGTGACATATTCGTTTGATTTGTCAAAAAATAAAAATAAAAATAAAAATAAAAACTAAAAATAAAGCACCTTTATGTTATTCTATTTACGCGTTTTCTACTCTTCTTCCCTCTCTAGAAAGAAACGTTTTTGGTGCAATCCCTGGTCGGTGGTTCACAAATATATACAGATAAGGAAGTGGTAGTAGGAGTCTAGTAGAAGAAAGAAAGAAACGACACAAAGCAGAGCCAAAACAAAGGCTTAATGACGTTACCTCTTAAGTCTTGTTCCATTTCTGAGAATTTTGATACGAAGAAGAAGAAGAAGAAAAGACCAATAATTTTGAATTCTAAAGTTGGGTTTTTGTTGTCGTTGATAGTTTTGCTGTCTCTGCTTCCGATCTGTGTGTTGGGCGAGAAACGTCAAGAAAAACATCAAAAGAAGCTGTCCTTTGGGTCAAATGGAGAGTTCAAGATTCTTCAAGTGGCTGACATGCACTTTGCTGATGGAAAGTCCACTCCTTGCTTGGATGTTCTTCCGAGTCAAGTCAAGGGCTGTTCTGATCTCAACACTTCGGCTTTTATCCACCGAATGATCCTTGCTGAGAAACCCCATCTCATCGTTTTCACCGGTAATCTTGTTCTTCTTCCTTTTTCAAGCTTACCCTTTTTCTAAAAAGTTTTTGTTGTTTTTGATTTATCTTGTTGTTCATGTTTTTGGTGTGTGTTTGTTGATTGTTAGTGTGATTTTTGGGAAAGAGAAATGTATGTGCTTGAAATTTTCATTCTGTAGTTGGATTTATCTTAGAACTTGTTACTTTACATTCGCTATTAAAGCCCAAGATTTTGGCAAGATAATTAGAAGAAGTTTGGGAAATTGGGGCATGAACCTTTCATTAACATTAATCACATATATATACAAACTCTGAAGGCAAAAACTAGTGTCTAGATACAATGAAGTAGTTAGTTTCTTAAAACAATCAAATCACCTGAAATCATGAAATGAGCAGTTTGACTAATTACAAATTAAATGTAATAATCGTACAAATAAATAAGTATCTTATATCCTTAATATTTAGCTCGTTTTTTTTGGTAGTTGGTTTTGCTGAGATTAACTTTGTTGTAGCTCTGTCATATATTTTAATTCTTGCCCAATTGGTCAGTTCACATTAAATACAATTTTTTAGCACATTTCACTGTCTCTTGAGCTTATATAGGGAGCTATTGTAAACAGGGGATAATATATTCGCAGCGGACACCACGGATGCTGCTAAGTCTTTGAATGCTGCATTTGCACCGGCGATCTCGTCCAACATCCCATGGACAGCAGTTTTGGGGAACCATGACCAGGAATCCGCCCTCTCAAGGGGTGGGGTAATGAAGCACATAGTTGGTTTAAAGAATACTTTGTCTCAACTCAACCCTTCAGATGTTGAATTTATTGATGGTTATGGGAACTACAATCTTGAGGTTGGTGGTGTCGCGGGCTCTAGTTTCGAGAACAAATCGGTGCTCAATCTCTACTTCCTTGATAGTGGGGATTATTCCACGGTCCCATCCATCCTGGGATATGGTTGGATCAAAGCCTCTCAACAATTCTGGTTCCAACGTACTTCTAGAAAACTTAGGGTCCTTCTCTTACTTCGTTAAGTCTTTTTGGTTCAATTGAATTATCGAATTTCATTTGTTTATAAGCTTGATTTCTATAAGCTAGCCTTGGTTACAATCTGTTTATAAGTTATTTTCCGCGTTATCCTGCAGAGAGCATATAGGAACAAGCCACTAGCTCAAAAAGGACACGCACCGGGGCTTGCATACTTTCACATCCCATTGCCTGAATTTGCTAGTTTTGACTCGTCAAACTTTACGGGTGTCAAGCAGGAAGGCATTAGCTCTGCATCTGTGAACTCAGGATTCTTCACAACCATGGTTGAAGCTGGGGATGTGAAGGCAGTTTTCACAGGCCATGATCATCTGAATGACTTTTGTGGTAAGCTAACCGGTATACATCTATGTTATGCTGGGGGGTTCGGATATCATGCTTATGGGAAGGCTGGGTGGGCAAGGAGAGCCAGGGTGGTGGTAGCAACATTGGAGAAACTGGACAAGGGTGGTTGGGGAGGCGTGAAGTCGATCAAAACGTGGAAACGCCTTGATGATAAGCACCTCAACGCCATCGACAGCCAGTTCCTCTGGATCAAGCATTCTTCTGGTAAGGCATCTCTGAAGTTCCATAGATTTATGAAGTTTTAGCAGTATGGTATTTTGTTATCAGAAGATGCTACCTAGGCGTATTCAGGGCTCTTTTTATTATTCAGAAAGCATAAAATTAGCAGAGGGTGACTACTTAAAAATTTTCCTCTCAGTCCTTTTGTTGTTTCATATGTAAACCTGTAATACTTAAAGTTTACATTTTTTTCCCCATGTTCATTAGCATGTAATCCTTTTTTTTCTCTCTCTCTCCTATCAATACAAGAACTCAGTCTTCATGTTCGTACCTCGCATGTATTGATCAAAGCCAGCTAGCTAGCCTGATTTTACCTTCTCATGGCGGTAACTTCATATACCTAAGTTCAATCTCCATAGAGGGAACACAGCCTTGTCTAGTCCCGTTGCATTTATCATGTTACTCCTTGATAAATGACAAGGAGAAAACGTAAATGTTGAATCTCTTAACTCGTTGTGATGATGATTAGATGTTGTGCAACTTATGAGTACTTAGGCCCCGTTCGTTTCGCATGTTCTAGTTGAGAACTTGAATTATAAAGTGAATTAATGCGAGAGAAAATACTGTAGCAGAAAAAGTTAAACGTGACTTTTTGTGAGAGAAAATATTTTAGTAAAAACTTGATTTGTGATTCGAACTAGCGAAACGAACTGGGCCTTAATTTCTTAGCTTCGCGAGGCCTTATTTCAAATATTAATATTTATTTGTAGCTTTTATATTCTCTCATTTGTCTCTTCTAATTTACTTGTTTGGTATTTCATGAAACAGGTAACAGAAGAAAGAAGCAGATCCCTAGTGCTTGAGTTATGGCTTTAGGTTGGATGTAGACATGGATTTTGTTGAATAAACTCTATCTTGAGGCTCAACTTTGTACACGTATTTTTAGTTTTCATAAAAGCGATAAAACAAAAAATTGGTATTACGATGGAATCAACAATATACGTAATGATCATATGCTAGCACCGTTGGTCTTCACTTGTGCATTCTGGGTGTATTTCATTATTCATTGTTAGTTCAATATTTTTATTTTATATTATTTTATTTTTGTTGAGGAGTAGTTCAATATTTTAGAGATGGTGCATAAATTCTTATTATACTTTTATCAGATATGGCGATCTTGTAACATGAAATTACTATAATCAGAAATGTGCTATTTCCTATCCATAAACTCTAAAACAGCCGCTTGTTTAGTTGCCAGTCTCTCCGCCTCATATTTGACAAGAGTTTTTTAGGGTTATTTGTACATTTACCTTCTGAACTTGTCGGTAACTTACTCTTTGAACTTCTAATTTTAGTAATGTATCCTCCAACTTACAAAATAATTACAATATGTCTCATTTTAATAATAATTGTGTTAAATTAGTATTTAAAAATTACGTTCATTTTAATAATAATTGTGTTAAATTAGTATTTAAAAATTACGTTCCGTGAAAATTTTCAACATTCTAAACTGTTTAACACAAATCTCTAATAGGCCTCCACTGAGGTTCACTTATGCAAGGAGAAAGAAAAGGCAAGAACAGTGTTGAGCAGCACCAGAAGTAGGGTTTGGCAGAGGTGGAAATGGAATAGGCTTGCGGGTCGGGGTTGGAGCTGGTTTCGGACCAGGCAGTTCGAGAAGGGAATGTTGAGCTGGCAGGGGTGTTTCCTGATGATTGGGATTTGGGGTGATGTCAGCAAGAAGGTCTAGAAGTTTGGGGAAATTCGGTTAGGATTGTTAGAGAGTGGGGATTAAAACGTGAGCTGAGAGCAGGCGCGGAGCTATTCATTGTTCACTTTCTTAATTGAGAAATAGTAGAAAATAGGCCAATATGAAAAGTTTAAGAAAGTATATAGGTCAATTTTTAGTTATAAAAATTAATAGGCCATAACTTATCAAGTTATGGTTCATAATCAGATAAGTTATAGACAAATTTGTCAAGTTATGGTTCATAGCCAGACAAGTTATGGATAAAAACTGTGAATAACTTGTCAAGTTATGGTTCATAACCTGACAAGTTATGGACGAAAACAGTAATTTGGCCTATTTATTAACTTATGTAAATTATTGGCCTATTAATTTTAATTCATCTCAAGTCTTGACCTATTTTCCTCTTTCTCCCTTCTTAATTTTATATTTTTATCTCTAAAATCCTATGACATTTTTATTTTATCCCCACTAAAATTTAATATTTGTATACATGTCCTCACTCAACCTTATACTTTTTAATATTTATTCTCATATATGTATTTGGTAGTTATTATAAATATCGTGATACATATTTCTTTATTATTTATTATAAAAAATTCAGTATACGGCCCCACTGAGGTAGAATGTTAGCTCCGCCACTCGCTGAGAGCAAGTGAGAGGGTATTAATCATTTGTGATCAATGAGCTTCAGAGCCTAACTCTGTGGAATGCAGTGGTTCTCTTGAAAAACTACCTATCTTTCTTTGTATTTCTTCCATTTTCACTAATTTAGTTGAATTTATCGATCATAATTTACTCCAAGTTTCTCGTTTTCTAGCCTTAATCCATGTTTTGTTACCAAATTCTATCAATCTCTCAATTCTAACTCGCAATCCTGTAAATCTGACAAAAAATCAGAGCAAAATTAATTAGGTATGACACATTGTAACTGTTTTGTAAGTTGGAAGGGTAATTTAACAAAATTATAATTTTATGAGGAAAGTTGTTAAAATCTTGCAAATTCAGGAGGCAAAAGTGCAAGATACTCTTTTTCTTTTTTTTTTTTTTAATCATATTCACCCTGTTCAACTTAAATGAAAGCCTTCTCTTTTACATTTAAATTACAGATCAATTGCCATTGTTTTGAAAGTTCAACTCCTAATCATTACAAAGACGCCATTAATTGTTATATTTTTTTTAGGGAACACATTTATAGAAGTTAGAGGATTATTTTCTTTTGACAGTTGGAACAATGTTTTTATTTACAATTTCTTAAATTTATAATAAAAATTGTTTAAACAATAATAAAACAATAAAAATCATAATCAGTTTAGAACTATGATGATTGAGATTGTGATAAAAGTTGTTAAGATTAAAACTTTAGGGAACTAACAAATAAAAACTTTACATTCTTTTTGGTTTTTTTTTTTTTTTTTTTTTTTTACGCAAGATTTTAATTAATTAATAATTTGATGAGTTACGTCCAGTTAAAAAGTAAAGTTTTGCTCTAAGACAAGAAAACGTAAAATGTAATGTAACTATAAAAAAAAAACATTTTCTATTTAATCATTTTGGATGCAAAAGAAATCTTGTAATTTAAACTAATTTTAAGAAAAAAATTAATTACATAATTTTGGAGATGTCAGTTATTTTCCAGGTTAAAAAAAAAAAAGGCCGTAGATTGTGCTAGTTTCCTCTCCAGCGACTACATCTCAGAGCACTAAATAAATATCTCACAGCACTAAATACATTATTTACAATACTACATCTCAGAGCACTAAAAATTATTATTATTTACATTGTTTGTAATTTTAGTAAATACATTGTTGACAGTAAACTCGTTTACTAAATGGGCATCCGAAGCACAAATATGAAGCGGTATAAATTGAAAGGACAACTCTTTAAAGTACACGCTTCAACTTATTATTATTTTTTTGTGGACTAAATAGGTTTATAATTCATACAATTTAACCAATGTGAGACAAAACCTATATTGTTCGTTTTCTCATCCATTTTACCAGTTTCCAACTCAATAACAACAAGCACCAAATATATATGTATGTGTATATATATATTATATATACATAATATTTTCACTCATTTTATCAAAGTTATGTGTGTTAAATGTTATAAGTGCCGTTATACAAGTCCTCGTATACATTTTCTTTTATTTTTTCCTTTTTCGGCCATTGAGGAAAAAACCACAGAAGAAAGAAGCAGAGCTTGTTGCCTGATTAAGGAGAACGTGTAAGAACTGTGTGTTGAAGCATTAAGTTCCATGTTTGATGGCCACATAGGTTTTAGTATCCACGAAAGATGCGTATTGCGTAGAAAAATGTGAGCGAGTTTCCTTACTTGTCAATGCAAAGCACTAACTTTTTTTTCTTGTTTTTAGACTTTCTTTTATATGTTCTCTTGGGAACACCGGTGTTCCTTATTTATCAGCCGTTAGATCTGTATTAAATCTGATTGAAAATCAAATCAGATTGAAAAAATAATACAAATCCGACGACTGATAAGGAACACCGATGCTCTAAAAAAAATACTAAAGAAATTTCCTGTTTTTTTTTTTTTTTGCATAAAAAGCTTGTAAAATTTTATTTTGATGTAAAACATGTTTGCTAACTTAAACAAGAGATTCAGCTCTAATGTCCCTTTTGAGTATCCTTAAATAATATTAGGTAACATTAATTATTTTAAGTGACACAACTATTGGCATGACATGATATCGTTTGAGAAACATGAAAGAGGATATAAATAAAAACACACAGAGGTCAAACTCAGTCTAAAAATGACGAGACTATTATTAATTTAATGAAACATTTATCTTTTTTTTTTCTCACTTTCTCCCGGTGCCAATCTGGTTTTTTGGTTATGGATTGTATTATTATCACTATTATTGTCATTGTTGATATTGCTGCTGCTGTTGTTGTCATCAACAATAATTTAAAACTTACCATGACAAAGTCAAATCACCATAATAACTTTGCCAAAAAATAAAAAAGAGTTTGAGATTGTTTTTGCGAACAGTGTAATTTTTAGTACTAAGTTTGATGTAATTTTCTGTTCCATAAACAAACCCCATAGCAAGTGCCCAAGAGACTCTTTACTTTATTGTTGGCTTTCGAAAATGACATTGAGGACCCAGTCAGTCATACATAGCTTCAACGATGTAAAAATAGCCTTGATGAAGTTTTAGAGAAGGATTTTGTTGACTTAAACTGAAGGAAAAAGAGACCTTCTCAAAATCACATTATATTTAAAAAAATATGCATAACAGACAATTTATGATAGGGCTGACAATCCGAGTAGCGACACGACGACACGATTCGAAACCCGCACGAAGTTAGCGGGTTTGAGTTTATCATAAATAGGTTTAGGTCAAAATCAAGTCGAACCCATGAACCACGATTAAATAGCGTGCCGTTTTCAGGTTGACCCACCAACCCACAGTTGACCCGCCGTAACCCGTTTATTAAACATGTCATATTTAGGTAACACAAATACACAACACAATTACAACCCGTTTGTTACCTATGTTGAGAAACATGTTGACACGACCTTATTATCACTCATTTTAAAAAGATGTTAATAAACGGGTCATTAGAAATAAGTTGACACGACACTATTATTAAATGTCAACCCGCCAAAATACAGGTCGTGTTTGAGTTTTGTATTTCGACACGAGTAATAAATGAGTCGTGTTTGTATCAGGTCTTACTGTGTCAACTGAGCAGGTCAATACGGCAACACAAATTGGCACCCTTAATTTCTGACGGCTAAAAAGTTGAGAACTATTAATAATTTATTTTTTTCCAGTCGTACTAGAGAAACTCCAAAAAAAAAAAAAACATTAAACTATCAATATTTGGAGGAACGTATACGCTTAATTTGTTACTTTACAAAATTAGAATTGTATTCGATTGCCAAAGTCAAGGTGGAGGCTAATGTAGTCGTGGTAGGATTGTAATCAAACAGTAATTTTTGTGTGGTTCCAAAATGAGAATATTTTAGAGAAGATAGTGACCTATTTGCACCATATTGCCACAAAGGGCACAAAAAGTTATTTCTTCAACTAATATCCCGAGCTATTCATTCATACTATCCTCATATCATATTCATATCAACTTCAGGGTCAGTACTGTTCCAATAGGTTAATGACTGTCTTTGTATAATACTGACCACTCCTTTTAATTTTTTTTTTTTCCGAATATAAAACAGTGACATGCATGTTTGTTTATAGTTGCAGAATGAAGCAAAAAGCAAGTGGACAAGAGATGATAGTTGTAATCAGAAAGTGGCACTGCTAAGTGATGAAATAAATGCTAGCGTACAGAACTAAGAACACTGGAAAAATTTATGAGAATTTTTAGATGTCCTAATCCTTTATCACTAGAGGCCTCTTATTCCAACCTGTTGGCTGCCACACGCCCCACCAGTTTGTGTCGGGTGAGGTAGCAGCCCGACGTGACTGAAAACCATTTTTTTTTTTTTTTTATTGCTAAGAGCAATAAAAATCATAAGAAAAAGAATGAATCCAAATAAAAACACACATAAGACGTAAATAATACTAATGATGAATAAAAATATTACAAGAGAAATCGCATAGTTCTCAAACTCATAGTGGTTTTTATTTTTATTTTTCCCTATAACCCTTCACTTAATCTTAGAAATGGTGCCCTTCAATATAAATAAATCTAGGCCAACTAAATTTAGTGTGAAAACTTCATAATACCCTTAATAAAATTTTACGTCAAGGCAAATAATTAGGCTCCACATACTCAATGAGTCAAGGCTGAAGACACGGAAATTTCTTTGGGATTGTGACTACACGTAAAAAGATATCACTCTCCAAGAGTCGTGTTTAAGCAAAGAGCAGGCAGACATTCAACTAAGTTATATATTCTTCAATAGTTTAATAGTGCAGATTCAAGAAAATGACCTTGCTATGAGACATTCTTTTTGCATTTGCTTATTTCTTTTCTTTGTGGGATTTGACACATTGTTCTTATGAATAATGCATGGTTTTACAAAAAAGAAGTATAAGATACCGTATTTAGAGGAAAGAGATGCCACAATAAAATCTCCTACCACTTTCTAAATATGCTATTTGCCTCATCGAAGTTGTTTCATTTCCAATAATAGAGTTTTAAGTGTGGCCAATAGAGTTGAAAGAAATATTAGATAAAGACTTCGAGAGGTGTAATATGACATTTATTTTATATAATAATAATTTTAAAAGGTATAACAATAAGATTCCGATTTTACATCTTTTTAATATTACTGTTACGAATAGTAAATGACATATTGCACTAATTTTTACATGTTTTAGCGCCGTCACGTCCTTGAATATGATATAAAAATCTAAATTTTTGGAATGTTCTTTGTGTGACACGTAATACTGATGCATTAATGTGAGCTAATTCGAAAAGGATTCTTCACTGTCCTCCCACTGAAAAGTTCCAAGAAAAGAAAGCAAAATGGAGGTGAATTAATTGTTTGATTGGTGAAAGCATTGACGTGATTCCATGTTCAATCCGGTGTGTTCCTGGTCTGGAATGCCTATATAGTAGGCCTACTTAAGTTCAAAATTCATTGTCTATTCGGTTACTCTAATAACAAACTATAAAAGATATAAAACACAGAGAAGAGATGAGTTGTTCTTCAGAATGGAAGCTTGTTGCCACTATGCTGGCCGTAAATTTCGCCTTTGCGATTGTGAATTTGCTTCTCAAGAAGACGCTTGATCAAGGGTTGAATTATTTGATCATCGTTACGTATCGGCAGGCTATTTCTGCTATTTTCTTGACACCAATTGCCTGCTTCTGGGAAAGGTAAAACATGCTTAACCTGATATTCTTTAAAAGAGAGTTGCACTTGTAGCTTGTATTCAGTGGCGGAGCTAGAAATTTTCTTTCAGGAGGCGAAAGCTGGAGCAAGATTTTGAACTAAAACAACAATACAACATTCTGTTACCTTCGTTTTAAGTTCAATTGTGATGTTAAGGGACTCAAAGTAGTTGATTTTCTTTTTGCAGGAAAAGCGGAACTGAGATTACATCTCGGCTGCTGTGTTACCTTTTCTTCAGTGCTTTAGTGGGGTTAGTTTGTGACACCTTAATTTTGATGAGTCTTTTTTAACCCCTTTTTTAGTAGTTTTAACTAAGAACTCTATGCTTTTTTTTTTTTTTCTTTTGCAGGGTAACGCTCACACAATTCTTGTTCCTTCTTGGACTTGAAAACACATCTGCTACTTTTTCCTGCGCATTCCTCAACATGGTGCCCGTTTTCACATTCATACTGGCATTACCATTAGGGTAAATTACAATACATTCTATATTTTAGTGCATTATGATCAATAGTTCTTCCATCCATTTGACTCTTAAAAACTCAACGTAAAAAAAACAAAAAAAAAAAACTTGACGTTAAGGATACATGTGAATCATCGTGCGCTTATTGGGAGTTGATTTTGTAATTTTTTACATATTAGGGCCATGACTATTAAGAAGAAAACGTGCCTTTTTCTGTCGAGATTTCAACAACAGAATGACTAATTTTGAATAATTTAGTAGCTAGAAGACTCATTTTGAGATGTTTTAAAGTCATGGATTCAAATGAGATTTGGCTATAGTTCGTAGACTAAAAATGGAACTAAGCCTTTATTTTTATCAAGCTAACCTAACCATGGCATTAATATTCTTTCCAGTCTAGAAAAACTGAACCTGGAAAGCAAAAGTGGGAGAGCAAAGATCTTAGGCACTCTAATATGCATCCTTGGAGCCTTGATACTGACATTCTACAGAGGAACACAGCTAACTCATCCACACTCACAAGCCGTAGGAAACATCGTTAATGCGAACTCGCCTCAAAAGCCAAAGAATTGGGCCCTTGGCGCGGTACTCCTGACTGCAGGCTGCCTCATGTGGTCCTCATGGTTTCTCATGCAAGCAAGGATTGGCAAATCATTCCCATTCCAGTATTCAAGCACTGCCATCATCTCCTTTTTCGGAGCCATTCAGTCGGCCATTTTGAGTTTGATCCTCGAAAGGAACCTTTCCATGTGGATTCTGAAGGGAAAGTTGGAGATCATCAGTGTCGTGTATGCGGTGAGTATTGATGATTTTGTGTCTTCAATTTTGATTATCATTCATACTTGTTCAACTTCAGATTTTGCATATGGCTATTACTTAATTTCCACATCAAGAAACTTGATTTTTTTTTTTTTTTTGGACACAGGGAATGGTGGGATCAGCCTTGTGCTACGTAGGGATGTCATGGTGTGTCAAACACAAGGGTCCAGTCTTCACATCAGCATTCACCCCCTTCACACAGATCTTCGTGGCGATTTTCGACTTCTCCATCTTTCATGAACAAGTCTACCTTGGCAGGTTTAGTCCTTAAATCATTGTCTTTTGATGCTTATTGAAAGATCAGAAGGGAAAATGACCTATTTTTAGAGAGGCCTAAAAGTTGAAAAAAGTTAGACGATGTTGATAAATCTTATATTTACTAACAACATATAGTAAATGTCATTTACTAAGCAAATCTCATATCTGCATAGTAAATCTTTTATCTGCTAACTAAAATACAATATATCTTTATTGATTAATCAGCTGATTCACTTTAGTCTGCTTTTAACTTTTGCCATTGATGACCAGTTTGCTAGGATCTGCCTTGGTGATAATTGGGATGTACACTCTTTTGTGGGGTAAGAACAAAGAGGCAAAGGAATGTCTTGTGAAGCAGAGCCAAACAACTGAAGAAGGAGAAGATTGTAATTCACAAGTCATACGCGTCACAATCGAATCGAGAGGCTCGTGAACAAATTTTAGTAGATTAATTTCCTAGCATCTTAGGTGTGTACTTGTTAGGGACTGACCTTTTTAGTCAGTTAATCCAACTAAATGTAAGGCATTGATCCATTGAGAGACAGATAGAGGAACATAAAAAGGCATTGTTATGGTTCGACCATGACCTATGCAAGTTTCATTAAGAGTTTATTTTTGAATGTTTTGCTTCAATACATTTATATGATATGACAAAGAGCTCCGCTATACGGACTCCGCACAGCATCGCATTTCACATTGCACAAGAGGACAAAAAAGCTGTCGTAAATTCTAAGTGGTAGGACTCTACTGTTAAATTTAATTGAGAAAAGTAAAGGCGTCATTTATTTCGCTTATTTCAGTTGAGAATTTGAATTAAAAAGTGAATTTATATGAAAAAATACTGTAATAGAAAAAGTTAAATATAAATTTTTATGAGAAAAAATACTATAACAAACAACTTGAGTTATGATTCGAACTAGTAAAATGAATAGGAATTTCTCCTTATCTTCGTGTCATGCGGAGCCGTATTCCGGAATTGAAAAACAACACCGATTATTATTTCGGAGAAAACTAAGTGGCATGCCACAAGATTAGTGGCATGAATTGGAAGCTGAAATTTTTGTAGCGTTCCTCAAAATTTGTCATGTGTGGTTGGAATCAAGAGGGATGAATTATAATTACGCCCCATTTATTTTAGGTTTTTAGGTACAAAATAAATTGTCCCGGGTTATGAGAAATTATACAACGTTTTATTTGAAACTTATGTTGTGGTGAATATCCTTGAAGCAACAAGACGAAAAGTGAAAGCTTAGCTACAAACGACTTGAAAAGATTTGATTCTTCTAGCTGCAAACAATCAAAATAATGGGAATCACACGTTTTTAGGTTTTTAGTGCGTTTGGAATTGGTTTTAAAATGATTTTGTTTTCAATAAAAAGTAAAAATGAATTTGTTTTGAAAATCATTCTGTGACCGATTGTGAAATTGTATTTGGTTGGTTTTTTATTTTGAGTATTATAAAAAAGTGAAATAATGTTTATTAATTAATATATTATAATATTGTTGATAAGTATTACAAAATGAAAATAACTTTCAACTGTTTTCTAATTCTTTCACAAAAATCATTCTCACTATTTTCGTTTTCGTTTTCAAAATATTTATTAAACAAACGTCATTTTATTTTCATTTTCATTTTTTACTTCTTGAAATACGTAAAAACTGTTTTAAAAAACGATTCTAAACACACACTAAACGTTTTAATAAGGTTTTCTTGTCCTATTTACTATAGTTTAAAAATGAAAAAAATTGTCTTAGATACCGTTTTTAAAGTCTACTTTTAATAAATATCATTAATTTTGTTAAATTAAAAAAGGATAAATTACTTAAACTTCAGAGCTTTTTCAAATTTTCCCTTTCTGTTCAACCTTAAACGGAAATGGACAGATAGCGCTAATTCGCAGCAAGATTTAGGGGTAACGGATGTGATATTACGAAATTGCCCCTTTAATTAGTGTATTATGCAATTAAAGTTGTGAGCGTTCTTGCTAACTTTCTCCTTTAATTGACCGACTTAAGTATAGTCTCGTTCGTTTCGTTAATTCGAATTTAAAATTTGAGTTGAGATGTAATTTTATGTGAAAATTTTTAATTATAATAAAAAAATTAAATGTTAAATGTGATTATTTATGAGAACTTTTTACTATAACAAAACTTGAATCAACGAAACAAAGGATGATGGTTCATTGCAGCCACCATCTCTGGCTTCCCCACTGTTAAATCCCCCACCACATGGTAAAGAAACACCGATGCCATATCTACAACAACAACAAAAAAAAAAAAAAAAAAAAAGAACTCAGTTCTTCATTCTTCAATTCTTAATTCTACTTTTTTTTTTTTTCCATTCTTAGTCTGATTGATTACCAAGATGAAATTGTGGAATATAATAGAGAAACTACCTTGATTGTCTCAACTGACCACGTTTTCCCGGCAATTCCCCATTCAAAAGAAATTCAAATTTTCCGTTGAAACTTTATCCCTTTTTTTCTCTCTCTTTTCCGCCTTTTCAAACCCAACAAAACAGAGCCAAAGAGGAAAAAAAACAAAAAGGCAAAAAAGTTTGGTTTATTCGAATGAAAAGAATACAAAAGGTTAAAAATTAATACAAATTTTAATGATTCAGGAGAGCATACGGAGATTTTCTCATGAACCAAACAGAGACGAGAGGAGGAGAAGGAGCGAAAGCTATAAGCTATAAAAGGGTGTGAAGGAAGATGAGGAGGATGTGAAGTCCGGTGATAGTCTGTAAAGATTCAGGAAAGTGAAGGGCGTGAGAGAATTAGCCATGGATGAAGCTTAATGCCCATCAAAGATAGATATTTCTCTAACCTTGATCTTCATCCGAAAAAAATGTTCTCTCTCTAGGAAACAACAAACGACGATGGGTCTCTCTCTCTATTTGGGGGATTCTTTGAGGTTCGTACTTGTATACCGTGTTTATTAGTGCATTTACAATAATACCCTCAAAATTTCCATCACGTGACAATTTCTGTCTAAGATTTAACAGAAGAGGGAAATTTAAAAGAATTCTAAAGTTCGGGATGAACAAATATTACAAATTAAAGTTCGGAGGGCTAAAGTTTAGGGGAAAAACCTGTGACTTGTCCATTAAAAAATTGACTTTGATAAATCGTTGATTATTTTTGATAGATTATTGATTGATCTTAATAAATGATTGATAAATCGATCGTTGATTAATTGAGCTAATCAATTTTCGATCAATAATTTTATGTGATTATTGAACTCTTAACGAGGGAATATCTTTTTTTAATTGAACACAAACTAGGCATTTACTGAACATATCTTTTCAAAGGATATATTTTCATATATTCTTATTTTTTTGAAAGATATGTTAATAGTTTTTCAATGCTGAAAATATTAAACTAATGTGAAAAACATTTGTAAAGGTTTTTCCAAATTGTGCAAAAACATTTTTTAATGATCAAAATAGAATTTCTTGATGCCACCTTTTGATTTTTTCTAATTCCAACTTTTTCGAATATATTCATTGTTCTTATTTTCTATTATTGTTTTAAGTTGATTGAGGAAATTACAAAACTGCAACCAATATTTGTGTTTAATATAAAAAGGCCAAGGTTGAGCGGCATCTATGTCGTTTTTCAATTCCGAATGACTCCACTTTTTCAAAATTTTGACCCAAAATAAAAAATCTCTTTTCCTTTCCAAGTAAAAAAAAAAAAAAAAAAGACTTTAGAATCTTTAATTGAAAATCCTATTACCGTGAACGACAACATATATGGTTTAGATTGTTGTCGTTTTTTCCTTTACCATGTAATATCGTTTTGAAAGGCCATTGTTGTCAGGTTCGGGTCCCATCACTTTTACCAGTTGATGTTTGTTTTTATTCAACTGGATTTATACCAGTTGAAGGTGTTCTACATTAATGTTATTGTCATCTTCTTGGTTGTTGTCGTTTCCATTCAATGTCGTTTTTTGAAGTTATAATTGTTTTCATGTTTGATGTTGTGTTTTAAGATTGTTATGATTACTCTCGTATTCTTAATGTGGAGAATGAGGTTCTCCTCTTTTTTATACTTATTGTATCATTTTCGTTTTCTATCTCATGCTGCTATGACTTGTGAACAATTGCTGTCGTTTTCTTGATATTATTGTCATTTTTCTTCACTTGTCGTTTTCCAGTTTATGTTGTTTAAAATCCTATATTTTCATTTTTTAAGGTGTTCTTTTCCACTTCATGTCTTTTTTTTCACATGCTATTGTAGCTTCCTCATTTAATATTTTTTAGGTTATCATGGCTGTCAGTTCATTGTTATTTTTTTATTATGTGGTTGTCAATTTAAACTGCTATTATTGTATTTACTATTGCCTCGATTCGTATGACAATGTCGTTTCGTGATTTTGATTTTTCTTTTTTCTTGGAAGTTCTTCGTGATGATGTTTAAAGTGACACTATTGTTTTTGTGGGAAGTTTTGTTTCAATTTGGCTAAAGTTTCTTGAAGTTAATGTCGGCTTCTAAGTTGTTTGGTTTATGTGGTTTCTACATTGATGCGTTCAGGGTTTATAGTCCTTTTTCTGTTTCAGTTTAATTTCGGGCCAATCAATGTTGTAATTTTCATTGAAATGTCGATGTCGTTTCTCCCTTGGTGACGTTCGTACTCTTTATTGAAATCATTTTTTTTAGTAGCAAGTATCTAAAAATAGATAGAATGGATGGTGAAAGTAAATCTAACTGTATAATGTTTTTTTTCTATTGAAAGAACAAGCGGGAATAAATTATATGATGTTAAAGAATAACACAAAAGATTATCTAAGTGCCTGAAAGAAAAAAAAAAGGCATATTTAATATCAAAAAGATCAAAAAGTTGTTGGAGACAATGAATTGAACCTCAAAAATAAAATATTATATATAAAAAATATAGAAATCATAATCAAATATTATAAATAAAAAATACAGAAATCATAATCAATATTAAAAAGAGAGTAAGAAAGATTGTCTTATCTTGATAAAGAAAAAAAATTCCTGTAAAACAGTGTAGTGATTAGGTTGACACAAACTCTGAGGCGTTAGAATGGTGTATTCAACTAAGTTGATTACTGCTCAGTTAAGGTATGATGTAATCATCATTAATTCCTTAAGGCAAAAGGATTAAGAAAATGTAAGTTGTACAATCTCACATTGCATGGGGATGAATATATGTGATGGTCTATAAGGAGACTCCACTGTACAATGGTATGAAGTTTTTGGGGTGAAGCCTAAAGGCAAAATTGTACAGACTCAGGCTCAAAGCGGATAATATCATGTCAAGTAGAGGTGTGGGTCGTTACAAGTAGTATCAGAGCTTGTATTGAGCCGGAAGTGTGGCTAATAAGGATGTTGGACCCCAAAAGGAGGGGCGATTGTGACAGTCATCAATCTCTTGAGGCAAAAGGGCCAAGAAAGGATAAGTTGTATAGTCTCATATCGCTTGAGGATAAATATAGGTGATAGTTTATAAGGAAGAACACCATCTCTAAATGTTATGTGGCCTTTTGGGGTGATTCTCAAAAGCAAAACCATGCGGACTCAAGCACAAAGCGAAAAATATCATATTAAGTGGAGTTGCGGGTTGTCATAGGGAAAGTAAAGGAAGGTTGTTTAGACCTTCTATGCAAACTTCCATGTCTCATCTCTTTCAATTTTTCTTGGTCATAATAAAAATCTGGTTTGGGATAATGTGGAATCAGATGAAACGTCGTTGGTTTTTTGTCGTACACAGTTGGAAATCCGGGTTTCATTCGGACAAAATCATGTGCATTTTGTTTATAAACAAGAGGAGGAGAAGGAGATAGTTCTACCAAAATATCTTTGCCCTTGTCCAAAGTTTTTATTTGCTCACTTGAAGGAAGGTTAGAATCCAATTGGAGATTTTACTTTTTGATGTTATGGATAGCAATTTGAAATAGACGTGAATTAAGGATGGTATGAGTAGAATCACAGAAGTCAAAATGGTTATGATTCATGGAGTTAGAGAAACGAGGTTTGATATCTTTGAGATCGGTACCGTAATCAAAACAGAGATTGACTTATTTTTTTTTATAATTTCATTGCAGCAGAACATGATTAGTGAGTGTGATTAACAAGACTACAATAGTAACAGAAGTTCATAAAATCTTCATTGCGCGTTTTATCCAGAATTCTGTGTACCATTTGTCATCCACAATTCTTAAAGGACCTAAAGTTTTACCTATGATTGATCAATTAGCAACATTTAGAGTAGTTGGTAGATTGTAAAGTTGAATTCAGAAGGAACGTAGTTAAGATCTTTAGACTTATAAGTTGAAAAACCTATAGAGATTTTCAAATGCCATGGCTGACATACAATAATTCTTATTCTGTCTCTTTCACTGTCAAAACAGACAGAAAACATGTTATCATCAAGAAAAGTAATTTAGAATTTATTGTGGATGAACCAAATTTTGATAAGGAGGTTTTGAAGATAGGTTTTATTGTAATGTTTTCAAGAAAGAACCTTCCTATTAGGGTGAGTGAAAGACTATCATCATCATAAATAGATTTTCAAGGATTCAATGAGCTATTTTCTCCTCATCTATGAAAGAGAGAATCGTAGGCTCATTTTGTTTTCCATAAATTTTGTGGGAGGAGAAAGTATGTAGTACTGTGAATGGAAGGGATAAGTGGTATAAATACACTTAGTTGTACAAAGAAGTAGGACTGTACAAAAAAATCGTAAAACTGAAACCGACCGAAACTGACCGCTCAAAACCGAAATCAACGGTGCCACATGGAACCGAACACAATCGGTTTGATTAACCGACTGACTGCCTGAAAAGTCAGTTCGGTTTCAGTTTTGCGTGTAGAGTGTCGGTTAAAAACTAAACCGACCGAGGTGAGTTTTTTTTTTTAATGTTTTCATTTTGTTTTGTTTTGTTTTTTTAAGTTTATGTTATCGTTTTGCCCTCTATAATGTCATTTTTACAAGTCACAAAACACAAACACTCATTTCATTTCTGATTTCTCTCAGTCTCTGCCTCTTTCACCCAGACACCCACGACCCACCCTTACGCCTCACCTCTCTCACTCTCACCCACCCTCACGGAAGCCCTAGCCGCCGCCTCTCTCCTCAGTCGTCCTCGGTCGCACGTCCGCCTCCGGCCTCCGGCTCCACTATGGTTTCTTGGTTTTCTCTCTACCGCTCTAACTCTCACGGTGAAAAAAGCCCTAGCCGCTAGCCACCACTCCGCCGATCTCCTCAGTCCTCCTCAGGCTCACACGTCCACCTCCGCCAAGCTTCGCCGAGGTTTGGCTTTTGTTTCTCCACTTTCTATTTGCATCAAGCTTGGTCGATTGGATTTCTATATGCTGTTGTGTTTGATATATTATATATATATGCCACAGCTTTTAGAAGAATCAGCAGGTGTTGCGAGCAATTTGTCTAGGAAAGCCAGGAGAAAGCAACCTAAGAAAGCGAAGCACTGAAGATCAGCAGCAATTTTGGCAAAGCTGTAGGGAGGTGATTCTTTTGTGAACTCATGAATTATCATGCTTATATATTCATTTCTTCTTTTTTCTCTGTTTCACAATGACTAAATTTGCATGTGTTTTCAGAAACATATTGTGGAGTTGATATAGAATACAATCCTTGTTCTGGTAATTGTTGTGCCTTCTCAGCTTTGATAGATCACAGAACCAAGTTATTTTGTACAATCATGTTTTTGGTAATGCTTCTTACTTGAGGAATAACAATTAAATTTGAACTTTGGTTCTGACTATGCTGCCTATATTTTGGTTCTCGATTCTGTTCGTGTTCAATGAGTAAACACAGCACCCAATGCCAACAATTTTATTTTTTAAGAGATTAAAATTATGTTTAATCTATGTTCCATCTAAGATGGCACATTTAGAACTCTATTGTCGTTACATTGCAAGCATGTTCTAATTCTGGTTTTGTGTTTGGATTTATGCCACAGCAACAAAGTTTAATTCTTATAGCTTAATACAAATAGATAGATATAATAAAAGTTCATCATTAACATCAACAAGAAAGCATGTTGTTTGTGAGTTTTTAACTTTTAGCTTAATTCTTATATATGTCTTCATCGGAAAAATAAAAAGAGATAAAGTCTCAGTTTAGTAAAAAAAAAACCAAAACTACTGAAACACAAGAGACAACTGAGGAAGAAGGGAAATGTACTAAGAAAAGGAAGAAAGGCCAACAAGTAAGCCCGGTTTGGTAGCATTTCACGAGGGATGAAAAAACCAAGAGGGCTACTTGCAAGCATTGTGGTGTCACTTATGCCGCTGATTCGAAAAAGAATGGCACGTCTACAATGAAAAGTCATATAGAAAGTTGCTTGATGAATCCAGATAGTGAAAACAAACAAAAGACCATCCAATTTAATAGAAAGATCGGAGCACATGAAGAGGACACTACTACTAGTACTATGACACTAAGAGCTTGGTCCAATGAGGGTTATAAGAGAGTCGTTTTGGAGTATATCGTATTGGATGAGTTACCGTTCTGACACGTGGAAGGTAAAGGGTTTAAGCACTATTCGGCATACTTGAATCCTAGAGTGTTTGACATTTCAAGGATAACAATTGCGATTGATGTTTATCAAATGTTTTTAGAGGAGAAGAAGAAGTTAAAGAAGGTTTTAGGAAAGCAACGGGTGTGTTTGATGACTGATACTTGGACATCAATTCAGAACATCAATTACATGTGTTTGACCGCACATTGGATCCATGAAGATTGGAATATGCAGAATATGATCATTAATTTCATCTAAGTTTCGAATCATAAAAGAGAAACATTTGTACAGGAGATTTTGGTTTGCCTTAATGATTGGGGCATAACAGCATTGTTCACAGTTACAGTGGACAATGCATCGTATGATGTGGCTATGGACAGGTTAAAGAGAAAAGTCAAAGATATTCCTAATTTTCTCGTCTTAGATGGCCAGGCGATACATATGCGGTGTGTCTGTCACATTCTAAACTTGATTGTTAATTATGGGCTCACGAACTTAGCATATTCTATTGCAAGCATCCGCAATGCAGTTAGGTATGTGAGGTCCTCACCTCAACGCCTCAAGAAGTTTAAGGAGTGCATGAAGGAAGAAAACATCAACTCAATTGCCCTATTGTGTTTGGATGTGAAGACGAGGTGGAACTCTACCTACCTAATGTTGGAGACTTCTTTCAAGTTTGTCCCCGTTTTTGAGAGGTTGCTTTTGGATCAAAACTATTGTGCTTACTTTGATGAAGTTATAAAAGACAAAAAGATGGAGGGTCCACCAAATGAGACGGATTGGGACAATGCTAGGGTTTTTCTGAGGTTCTTAGGAAAGTTTTACACTTTGACGAAAAAGTTTAGTGGTTCATATTAAGTCACTTCAAACTTCTATTTCAAAGATATTTGTGCTATCAAACGAGAGTTGATTAAGTTAGAGGAGTGTGATGATCCTCTGTTAAATGAAATGGCAACGATGATGAATAAGAAATTTGATAAGTATTGGGGAAATGTCGAGAAAATGAATCACATGATGTTTCTTGGCTTGGTTTTTGATGCAAGATATAAGTTGGATTATCTTGCTCTTGCCTTTAAGTGTATCTATGATGATTCGATATCTGACACGTTGTTAAAAGGGGTTGAGGACACATTGCATAGATTGTATAAGGAATATCATGATCGGGCTCCTCCTCCACCTTTGGCTCCCTGTCGTCCCCCCCCCCCTACCGCAATTATCAAAGTTGGCCAAACCTCGATTTAGAAATACAAGGTAAGCTCACTCAGTAGAAACTTATTCTGGTTGTAATGCAAGTCATTCAACAATTACGGCATCTTGTGAACCCACCTCAATGCCGGTTATTGATGATGAGATAGAGGCCATGTTTAGAAAGTAAAATATGAGTAGGGATGGTGTAAATGTGCTAAAGAATGATGTGGATAAGTATTTATCTGAGCAATGTGAAGAGCTAGTGGATGACAGTTTTGACATCCTTGGTTGGTGGAAAGTTAATACTCCTAGGTATAAAGTCTTGTCCCAAATTGCTAGAGATGTGCTTGCAGTTCTGATTTTGACGGTTGCATCTGAATCAGCTTTTTCTACCGGTCATCGTATTCTTGATCCTTTTAGGAGTTCATTGGCTCCTAGGATGGTGGAAGCACTTATTTGCTTGAAAAATTAGTTGAACGCGAAGGATGAAGAATATGAACCCGTGGTTCTTAGGCAATCAATATATGGATGAGGTTGAATCTTTTGTAGATTGCTATTATGTTGTCTTAGGTAAAACTAATCATGATTGTATATACTACATATATTTTTAATTATATCTTTTTTAGGCATTTCATGTATTAGGTAAATTAATTTATAATGGATTTGGATTCGGATGAAGATGGAGGGGAATAAGAGGTTTATGAGAAGTTGAACTTTTTAATTATGCTTTGGACTTCTTAATTTCTTTACTTATGACAATTTAGATGTTTTTTAAACTTGTGTTTGTGCAATTATCAATTTTGATGTTGTGCTTTGTATTCATTTATTGTGATTACGTGTTTGTAACTTTGCATTGAATAGAAGTTTTACATTTTTTCGTACTTGTGGGTAAAAAATGCAACTAAAGATCCTGGTAACCTGATGGTTAACTGAGGTAACCTTCCTGATTACCAAAACTGAAAACCGACTAAAACCGAACTGAATCCGAACTTCGGTTAACCGAACCGAAAACTGTTAGGTGCGGTTCGGTTTCGCTTCCAACTTTTAAAAAATCGACACGGTCGGTTCGGCCACCAAACCGACCAAAATCGATGGTTTTGAACCGACGAACACCCCTACAAAGAAGTATAACAGCTATTAAAAATTTTAAAATTCAATATAAATGTATGAGAATAACTGAATATAGACAGGTATCTTAATTAGAGGTAATTTTTAAAATAAATTATTTTAAATTTCAAAAGTCAATACAGATGTTTAAGAGTAACTTAATATTTATCTTATTTAGAGATAATTTTTTAAAAGTATTTATTTTATAAAAAATTATAAACCTGCATTTAAAAGGAAACGTTTTATGTTTTAAAAAAAATTTGAGTGAAATAAAAAACTGTTTTAATAAGCATAATTGAGGAAAATTTTGAAAAATTATATAAACGTATTTTAAAAGGAGATTAAAGAGAACGAAGAGAAAATAGCAAATGGGTCTAAGACATCAAAATTTATCAGTACAATAACTTTAAAGAGAAATTCAAGGATGAGAACTTTTCAAACTCCCAGTAAAGATGACAAGAAGAGACTGATGAACTCGTAAGAGATTGTAATGAATGACTAAAAAAAACAATAATGTAAGGAAAAGTAAAGGAATCAGGAGAGCAAGGAATGAGAGAAAGAAAATTGATATGTAAGAAAGATTCTAGGAATTTATAATTATAATATAAGGAAATTAGTCAAACAAGTAATAACAGTTGTGAATATAATAAAACTTGAGTAATCAACACAAATGGTCCTTGCTTTCATGCGTGAAAATTGGTGATTTTCAGTTTATTGTCGTTTTTAGTTCATTGCCGTTTCTACGATCTTATCGGTTTTAAAATTATTTTTCTTTTTTACTTTATTTTCGTTTTTTTAATTATTGTCGTTTCTTTATAATGTCGTTTCCGTGCCATTGTAGTTTTTCATAAATTGTGGTGACGGTTTCGTAATTTTGACTTTCTTAACATCAAAATTTTCACCCCCAAAAATAGCCGTCAAAGAAAAACCCTAACGTCAAACTAAAAGATTTAAGCGCCGCCGTCTCTTTCTCCAAGACGGTGGACTACAGCGGGCGCAGACGCAGAGAACGAGTTCAGCGATCAGTATTTTCAGGAACAATGGCGGGAAAGAGGAAGAAGAGCGATGGCGAAGAAGGAGGAGGAGGAGAAGACGAACCAGTGATTAAGAAGGAGAAGACGAAGAAGGAGATTCTGCCATCGATGATCAAGAACAAGGATAAGAGGTCGGAGATTCACGCCAAGCTCCAGCACCAGAAGAAGCTCGACAAGCGCAAGAGAGCCAAGGCTCGCGACGCCGCCATTAAGCGCGCTCTCGAGCTCGGCGAGGAGGTAAAGTCTAAATCCATCGCCATTGTTTTTTTTTTTCTCTTTCTTTCTTTTTTTGATGATTGAATTTGGCGATTAATTTTTCATCTTTTGATTGTATTTTGTAGCCTCCTGCGCCGAAGATTCCTCGGACGATTGAGAACACGAGGGAATTTGATGAGACTGTGTGCATGCCTGACGATGAGGAGGTTCTTTCTTTTCCTTGCCCTAGCTAAACTGAATTTATTGAATTTAAGATTTTATTCTTTTTGTTTTTTTGTTTTTTTTTTTTTGGAGAAGTGAATGGTTTAGGGTTCAAAAGTTGAGGTTTTTGAATGTGGGAAGGGCTGGGAAATAGTTTTCTGGGAATTTGTGATGTAAGAATGGGAAATTTTGGCTGAAGTTTGTGCAGGTTTTCTATGATAACTTAAAAAGTTCCACAGTATTGGTGGATTATTTTGCTTAGATTTTCTCTCTTATTATTGGCTAATTTTTGCTGAATTAGTGGTTTTCTATGAATCACTTAGATTTTCTCTCTTCCCTTTTTTCGCTTTTGTGAATTGAAGAATTTTTTTTTTTTTGGCATGAATTGTTTAAGGGTCAAAACTTGAGATTTTTGAATGTGGAAAGGGCTGCAAAATCGTTTCCTCGAAATTTGTGATGCGAAAATGGGAAATTTTGGCTGAATTTTGTGCAGGTTTTTTATGATTTACTTAAAAATTTCAAAATTATTTGTGGGCTATTTTGCAGTTTTCCTCTTCCTCTTCTTCTTCCTAAAAAGTTGATAAATTATAGCATTGCTGAAGAAGATCCTTCACTGTCTTCATTTGCAGCTATTTGCTGGAAACGATGCTGATGAATTCAGTTCAATTATGAATCGTGAACGTACTCCAAAGATATTAATCACCACTTGCCGTTTCAATTCTACGGTATATCTTACCTCTTTCTTTTTTTTTTTGTGTAAATTTTTTCCCAGATATCAACTTTTTCAATTATAGGGGCATGTTACATCTACGACATATATATATAGCTTTTTTTTAAGAAATAAAAAATAAAAAATTTATGCAAGACGTTCTCTGACATGTTTAGGTTAACTCTAATGTATATATTGATTTTCAGAGAGGACCTGCGTTTATATCAGAACTACTCTCTGTAATTCCAAATGCACATTATTACAAGAGAGGAACCTATGACTTAAAAAAGGTGGTTGATCTTCCCCTATTTTTATTGGTACATTTGGTTGCAGATTGTTGAATATGCAAATAACAAGGAGTTCACTTCTATTATTGTCGTTCATACCAATCGGCGGGAGCCAGGTTGGCAGTGCTTTCTGCTGAAGCTTTCTATAGAATTAATCTTTTAAGTTTGTGTCCCAAGCTTTGGTGTTGAACAATTTGAGGCTTATCGTTTGTTCTTTTATAAAGATTTAACATTCGCTTTTTTGGTTATCTTTCAGATGCTCTTCTAGTTATGACCTTACCCAATGGGCCTACTGCTCATTTCAAGCTATCGAATCTTGTTTTACGCAAGGATATTAAGGTCACCTCTCTCTCTCTCTCTCTCTCTCTCGCGGGGGTTGGAGTATAAGAAACAAAATAATTAGACTTCTAACTTTATATACTAAACAGACCACAATCCATTTGTGGTGTGTTCATACACTGTTCTATTTTGGCTGTTTTCTTTGTTTAATGGATTGGACATGCACCATTTAGACATGAAATCGGTATAATAACCAAAGTAACACTTCACCTCTATCTAGTTAGGGTGACATGTAGCAATTTCAAGAACAAGAGCAGTTATAACTTCCATGCCTTTGTTTTTGAGCATTATCATACCGGATTTAGACAGATTAGTGATTTGGAAATTCCTCAAATGGAGAAGGAATGAAAATTATGTTGCTGATTACCATAAGCGCTTAAGTTTATTTTTATAGCTTTGTTTGTTGCTGTGGTCAATCGCATCTTTTACCTTCCCCTTTGTTAGATGCCAATTTGTGAAGAATAAGTGTTTCTTTGCATCTTTTGGCAAAAAGAAAAAGAAATTGTGTTTTTGCTTCTTTTTTTACCCCTTTACTTGCTTGATGTGTCTGCAGAATCATGGTAATCCAACAAGTCATGAGCCCGAGCTTATCTTGCATGGCTTTACAACACGCTTGGGTCATCGCGTTGGAAGGTTATCTTAATTTTGCACTAATAGTTGTGGTCTCTGATTTGATGTGATTGCATCTTGGAATCAAAGGACCTTGCCTTATATCTTGATAAGATATCTATGATCTTAGCAAAAATAGAAAAATAATTAAATATTTGTGCATGTTCTTGTACGTTTTAGCTTTAATTTGTTGTTGATATTTCTGTGTAATAATTTATGTCTATGATCATCATACTTCATCGCCCTTATATTTAAATTTTTTTCCCTGATGCGTTTCCTTCAGATTATTTCAGTCACTTTTCCCCCAAGACCCTGATTTCCATGGTCGAAGAGTTGTAACTTTTCACAATCAGCGAGATTTTATATTCTTCCGGCATCATCGGTATATGCCTTTCGTGCGATTAAGTTATGCCAAGCAATAGAACTTGTTTCATTAGTAGCTACATATTCCTAATGGAAAGTTTTTGTATCCCTTCTCAGATACGTTTTTGAAACAAAAGAAACTAAACAGACCGACTCAAAAGGTACAAAGACCAAGGATGCAAAGGATAAGGTCTCTCAAGAGAAAATAAAAGCTCGTCTTCAGGTTAATGTCTATGTATTGATTTTTTTTTCCTGTATTTATGCGAGTTCTTGTCACATTTTTTACGTTAATGTTCTGATACATCTTGCTTATGCATGTTATGAAGTATCACTAATATTGTTGTATTCATTTAGTCTCAACTTTGCCATCAATTTCTCATCTAGAAGCATAGTTTATGAATGTCAGTTCTGATACAATGTTTTATCTTACACACACAGGAGTGTGGCCCTAAATTCACGCTGAAGTTAATCAGTCTGCAGAATGGAACATTCGATACAAAAGGCGGTGAATATGAGTGGGTGCACAAGGTATTCCACTCCATCCAATATATATATATATATATACACACACACACACACACACACTGCAGGTCTGATAGGTTACATTGTTTATTCTGACTCTTTAATCTCTCTCCTTCCCATTTGAATATTAGCCGGAAATGGACACCAGCCGAAGGAGATTCTTCTTGTAACAAGCTTTGGAATATTGCTTTCAAGTATCTTTGCCATGGAACGGAAGAATTCTGTTGAAGACTTTCCTATAAAAAGCACAACATTTTTGTTCCTTGCAACATAAGTTATTCCTGAAATTTCTCGCTGACCACATGTTGGAGCATTTTTGACGTAAAAGCTTTCTATATATATTCATATATTTTTTGTTTCTTTTGATTGTTAGTAAGCTTTTGTATTGAATAGTGGTAAGACAACATACTCTTTTCTTTTCCGTCAGTGTAATTCATATATTTACAAAAAATATACATATAATGCTTCTTCTGGCCAGTTATGTCTCTTCCATCTTTCCTGCAAAGTATATAGCACGTATCCTTTTTTTGTTACACTTTGTATACAATCGTATGATCTGAGAGCATACCTTTTTGAGTCCGTGAAGGCAAATCAAAACAAAGATGCCTCCAAAAACAGCAACATGCAATGTTAACTTCTCTGGTGGAGAATTTCTGGAAAGATATATAGAGTCTTTGGTTATAAGAATCCAACCTAGACCCTCCAGGAAGGACTTGACTAACAAGATATGTCCTGTTCTCTCCCCAGACACCCTGCAAACTATCCTCAAACATAGGGCACCCACAACCAAAAATGTGGTCACTGACCACCCCCTGTATGACACTAATCTTCCTCCCACAATCAAAGTGTCCTTACGGCACACGCAAGACAGGCACTCTCCTGAAAAGCTTGACAACATTAGAGCATCAAGACCTGTATAGTATGGTAGCAAAATGGAGTCCAAGTACAGGCTGGCATGTAAAATGCCAGAAATTGTCGATGCCTCAAAAAAAACGTACTTGATATCCTTGACAGCTTTGCCGTCGAAGCTGAGTGCGGAAATGTGAACCAATTGGAGAATTGCAGGACCAGCAAATGAGAGAGGAAAGATGGTGTTGATCCTGTTTCCCTTGGCTAGGACCAAGATGATTAGTGGGAGAGAAACCGGACCAGAAGGCAGTAAGTATCTTTTTGACAGATTACCAAGTTTCTCACTCCCTAATATGTCCATTACCATGACGAAAAGAGTTGCAAAGTATGAAGCAGTTGTGAAGATAAGAACCAGAATATCCACGGCAGGTGAATAGTTACCAGGATAAGCACTGTCACAGAAGTAGTGGTAAGGACAGTTGATTGGATCCATGGTTTCTTCAAACTGCCATTTGACACATTTGAAGAACATTAAGCGAATATCTTTGAGAACCCATTCCGGTCGCCGAGTCGGGTATTCTGGGAGTAGGAGTTGCCAATTCATTGTGCTGTTTTTGCCTTTCTTTTTGTTTGCTCATGCTTTGCCATCCTTTCTCAAAGATATACTCTATATATGGATGAAAATGTTGGATTTTATTTTGAAATATAACTATCTTGGTTCTTTTCCGTTGGTTGAGATCTTTCAGTTGAAGGCAATTTTGATGAAGAAAGATCAACTAATTGTTGTTTTAAATCCTTGTCCTTAAATGGCTCTTAGTTTATTAGGTTGGGTTGGGAGACCCTCATTATAAAGTGGGTATTTGCTTGTGGAGTGCTTATTGTCGTTTCTTTTAAAATTTGTATGCTCTAATACTGTTTTCCTTCAGGAATATATACAAATATTTGCTGACATATATGGAAAAATGTTAGGCAGAATATGATGTGCGCTTTATAGTAAAAGAGTAGTTTGACGTTAGAAGCAAAGTGGAATTGGTAAGAGGAAGCAATTTGCACAATCAGGTGTTCGAGGGAACTTGGGTTCAAAGGAAACAATGCTAGTTTGGTGGGTGATTGCTACTGATTTGGTGATTCATTAGTAGGCTTTGTTAAGTGACCAAGGAATAGGTTAGTATTAGTTAGATCCAAGCAAATAGGGCATGGTAAATAAATAAATAAATAAATAAATAAAGCTTTGTTCTAAGACAAATGAGTCATTAATTTTTAAGGTTTCTAGCACAATTACCCCTGAACTTTACATGCTTTAGCAAATTGCCTTTTAAATCTTTTATTTTGGAAATTTACCCCCTCAACTTGTTAAACTCTTGCAATGTAATCCATTTTGCTAACATCCGTTAAATCACTGACGGAAAATGCATTTGCCCTTCGTATGAGGAAAAGAAAACTCACCTCTAATCCAGAAATTTTCAATCCTAATTCAAATCCAACAAAAATCTCCCAATACCTCAAATCTCAATCCCAAAATCCTGGAATAACAAATAATGGCAATATATATGTGATAATATACCCAAAAAATTATTATTACACAATCTCATACTTCTAAGCGATATGGTCTTTAAAAATCTGCTCATATATGTGGAGAGGAAACCAAGCTCTCAAAACTCTTTTTGAAGCTTTGTCTTTACCCAAGCACATTTTAAAGATGAGCAAAAGAATCATATATGGTTCAGCACAAAGTTGCAAACAAAGCGCAATCCCCTTACACCTACATTAGTTTGGTAGATATTCCTAATTGGCTGCAACTTTGTAGCACAAAGTTCCTACCTAACTTGCGTAGGTTAGGAACTGATTGTGCAAGACTTGTGTCTCAGGTTTATGTCTTTGAGAAGCTTTGACCAAAATAATGGGAGTCTTCCTGCCGTACATTCCAGCTTTTGTCAAGTTCGGGTGCATCTTAAAAAGGATTTTTAGCACAATTGTCCTGAATTTGTCGTGATTTAACAGATTAATCTTTAAATTTTTAATTTTGACAATTAACTTCATGAATTTGTAAAACTATTGCAATGTGCGCGCTTTTACTAAACATGTTCAAATTTTTTATTAAATTTAAGGGATTAAAAGTTGATGAACTGAAAGATTCATATTACATTTAAATTTGGATGTTAGAATTTTTTATCGAACGTGTTTTTTCGACACTAATTTAACACAATAAACGTCAAAACCATGCATAATACAACAATTTTACAAGTTAAGGAGGTAACTTACAAAATTTTTAATTCAGGGGCAAATTATCAAAGTCATACAAATTTAAAAGGAAAATGTGTAAAATATCCTTTAAAAAATTAGCTATTGGATAAAATTGGACGTCTTTGATTTTTCTTTCCTTTCTCGTGGGAGATATGTGAGGCGTGAATTAGATTACGTATTACTTTTGTCTTTTTACGTCTAGTTATTTACTAGTATCATTTTATGTGCTAATTAGATTTAAATTTTTCATATTACACTTAAATATCAATTTTCTAAAAAAGCGTATTCCTTCACTTACAAGTTAGGAGATTTATATCTCAATTTAAATCATAATTCATGATTTATTACAGTATTTTTTTTATAAAAAATACACATAAATTAAAAATAATTCTAATATCATAATTTTAATCTATAAATTAACGTCACGTCAGAATAACGCAGTCTCCTTTTTGTTTGATTGATGTACAAAGGGCATAAAGATAAAAAAAATGTATATTTTGATGTGATTGGTTGGTTTCAAGGACGATATATCAGGCGGTACTAACTGATAAAGGCACAAATTTTGGGGGTAATATATGTTTTGCCCATTGTTCTTACAACCATTCGCATTCCGTAATTCTCACAATATAACAGCTTTTATGTGTAACACTTTTCTTGATATTCAATTTCAAACCAACCAAAAAAAACAAAAACAAAACAAAACAAAACATAAAGAAGAAGAAGAAACATGTTGGCGTTCAATTGTCATTAGACGATAATTGAACATCACAATAGCGGTAAGAACGTCTATTACGAATATTTTTCATTCACAATTTTGAATTTAAATCTTCACGTCTTTACAAGAAAGAATTCTAATTTTATTACTGGTGACGCTCGCTTTTGGTGGGTCAAATAATAGATTAATGAAATTTAAGGTTTTGTTCATTTTATTAATTTAAATTTTTAATTCTAATTTTATTACAGTTAAAAATTCTTAATAAAGTCACATTTAATTTTTTTATTACAGTAAAAAATTATAACATAAAATCACATTTTAACTCGAATTTATAAATTAAACGAAACCTAAATTACAAACAGATACATAATAGATTTAAACCCTTAACTACCACACTATTTAAGATCAATGGGTTCCTTCTATAGGTACTAGATGGGTCCTTTTTCGACTAACCAAAAAAAAAATTATGTCATTAATCAAAGCAGTTTTCGTTGGTATTTGTTAGAGGGATTCGTTCCCTGATTTAAATCATAATTCGTGATTCGTTATAATATTTTTTCTCATAAAAAATATACATAAATCAAAAATAATTCAAATCACATAATTTAAATCCTTCAACCAAACGAATCCTTCATGTTTCACGAATTCTCCGTGATAATCAAATGAAGACTGATCAAATGCGCTGATGATATTATGGCGAAAAAGGCAGTTAACAGTCGCAGGAAGGACAACTGCTCATTTATAGGCACCGACATATATTCATATAAGTTTGGCCGCTTTTTCTCCCGTATATTATTATTTGCACTTTGTGTGCCACCTGTCTACTTCATCTTTTTCTTTATTTTATTTTATTTTATTTTGACTTAAATAAGATAAGATAATATGTGACGCGTAGCATAACATGAAACAGGGGGACATGACTTACGCAGGGTGCATGAACGCAACCTGAAAAAAGAAAAGCAAGAGACATGGTGAGATTTTTTTTTGTTTTTTTCCTTTTAAAAATAAAAAAAAAGAGTAGTGGTGTCTTCACGCCTCTAGTTTTGACATAGAATTAGAATTTACCACCCTCATAATTTATGGTTCGCAAAAGAGTTGTTTTTTTTTTTTTTTTCCTTTTGCTAATCGCAAAAGAGTTGTTTATGCAAGAGTTTTTCCTGAAGCTTCTCTATCCGTTTGGTTCTTAGATTCACTCCCTGATTTGAATCATGATTCGTGATTCACTATAGTATTTTCTCTCACAACAAATACACGTAAATTAAAAATAGTTCAAATCACATGATTTAAATCTATGAACCAAACGGACCCTAAGTAGCATGTTTCTAGTCAAAATTTCATCGAAATAAAAAAAATAAAATTACACAAGGAAAAAATTGATAAAAATTTAATGCATATTTAACAATTTAAAATAGAGTTTATCCCTTTATTTTTATTTTCCTTAAAAAGCTTGCCTTCTTGACGCAATTCTTGGCTACATCCACCCTGATACTATTAGTATTTAAATTTATTAATACTACTTTAATTTACAACATTCATCTTTATTTTTTTTTATTCTTCTATAATCAAATAGAACAAAAAATAAATAGAAACCTTTCTATTTTATTTAGAATGTAAAATTAAATAATTAAAAAAATATATTAAGAAAAAAATATTAAAAAAATTACTACATAATGAAATTAACGAAAATATGAATATATTGAAATAAAGAAAAAAAAGACTTATCTCAAGCAAAAGACTAATAAATAATAATTTATTATGAAAAAAAAGGAGCACTACCAAACTTCGTGATAGATTCGTGATTATTGATTAGTTTTTTGCACCATTTTTGCGCAAAAAGTCTCCTAAATGTTCCAAATATGGGGAAGAATGATGGATAAGTATGAGTTCTTCCCCAACCCAACCTTTTTGATTTTGGATAGAGTTGAAGGCTTCGTTCGTTTCGCTAATTCGAGTTTAGAATTTGAGTTTTGCTATAGTAAAATTTTTTTATAAACAATCACATCTAATTTTTTTATTACAGTAAAAAGTTCTCACATAAAATCACATTTCAACTCGAATTCTAAACTCGAATCAGCGAAATGAACGAGACCTAAGTTAATGAAGATAGGGTGTGGGCCCGTTTAGTTCACTGAGTCGAGTTTTTAATTCGAGTTTATATGTGATTTTATGTGAGTGCTTTTTACTGTAGTGAAAAAATTAGATGTTACTGTTTCAAAGAACTTTTTACTGTAGCAAAACTCAAATTCTAAACTCGAATCAGTAAAATAAACAGGGCCTCACAAGCAGAGAAGCAATAAATGTGACACTTTTTGTTGGTCGGATTTCTAATATCAGATTTAAGTGTGAAAATATTAACATAAAGTTTTGCAGAAGCCAAGCCTCACAATTCAAAATACACGTAGTAAACTTTTTTTTTCTTTTTTTTAATTGGGTATTTGAATATCACATGAACAATAGTACTAAAAATTGAAAAAAAAAAAAAAAGTCAGATGAAAAGAAGAAGCTTGATAACCGACGTAAGCTTTACCCAAGAAACAATACATAGCAAGATTTAGGATTGAGTTTTTTGCTCTATTTGACTTGGGGAATTTTTCTAAAAAATGCTCAAAATATGAGGAAAGAAGGATAAAGAAGAAACTTCAACCTCGCCCCTACTTTATTTTTTAATTATTATAATTATTTTGATAAGGTTGAAGTTAAATATTGAATTGGTTTGAAAACTTTTAACACCCGGACAGAAGTTTCATACATAACTTTCTTTTTTTCTCCAAAATACAGTGTGTCTAAAAGATCGGGTTTTAAATACCATATGATACTATAAAAATATTAGAATCATAAGTTACAGTTACTACACGTTAACCATTTATTAGTATAATAATAAATTGATCTGGATGAAAGAGATATTTTGAACGATTCTATGTAGTTGAGAAGGTATAATGATCATTTTTTACCACAAAAAAAAAAAAAAGGAATGGGTTGACATAAGTTCTATAATTAACAGAACATTAATAAAAATAAAATAGTCTTAGATTGTAGAGTAAAAATGATTGAGAAAGAATAAGGAATAAAAAGGACGAAAATGATTATAGTAATTTTTCATATTATTTAGTTAAATAGAATTAGAGTTAAAATATGGATGATAATTATTTATTTAATTATTATATTGTTAATTCTACTATTTTTTAATAATTCATTTTGAATAGTGGAAAAGTAATTTTAATTTAAATTTAGGTGGATTGGTTAGATTCTTCCATTAATAGAATAATTCAAAATGATAAGTCCGAATGGAGATTCTCTCTCTATATCTCCTCTCCCTCCTCTTCTCCTTCCTACTAAACAAGGGATGCACCCTCTCTCTCATACTAAACATGCCCTTAATAAAGTAAATAGTGTGCTCTTTGAATGTTAGCAAATTATAGAACATTTGAAATTTTTGCTGAGGAAATAAATTGTCCTTTTCCAAATATACCCTTTCTTTAAGATTTTACCTTTCTTTTCTTTACTCATTTCAGCAGTCGCGCCCCTCCTACATCCCTATCTCTCTCTAACTTTCTCTCTCCTCTCTCTTTCTCCCTCTATCCCTTGCTCACCATTCTCTCTCCTCTCTTCGGAACGGCCATCGCCGAGAAAGAAGAAATTCAACGAGATTGCATCCAGATTCGACTCGATCGTGAGCTCACCATCACCGGGAAGAAGGCTCAAGTCCGCCATCATATACGGTATTTATTAGTCACTGGAACCGTTTGTTGGATTTTTTTTAAAAAAATGTGGTAAATACAGTATTCATCAATAAGTATGATATTTATCGGTGTATACGATATTTACCAGTCGTCAGAGCCGTTTACTGAATTTTCAAAAAAATATGGTAAATATGTTATTTATCAACAAGTATGATATTTATTGGTAAATACAGTATTTATCAACCGTCGGCGCCGGGCCGTTGGTCACTTAAGCAGGCTGCCAGTCGTCGGCGCCGACCATAGTCTTCTTATTTTAGAAAAATATGATATAATATTCATATTTAAAAAATGCTATAATTTACTTTTTTTAAAAAATAATAGAGATTTAGGGGAAGGAAATAGATGAAAAAAATGGTTTAAGGGTATTTTTAGTTTTTTAATAATGTTTAAAACTTAAAGTATCAAATTATGCTATAATCTACGTGTGTTTTTTTTTTTTTAAATCTATAATTTACTAAACACCCGTACTAAATATGTTATTTCTCTAATTCTCCTTAAAAATAAAGAGCGGTCATTTAGGCAATCAATCAAAATTCAAATTCTTAATTTGGAATTGACTCCCCCTCTAAATTCAATATTCTAGATGGTTATGAATAGGAAAAACACAATTATTTTTTGTTTCTTTTTCTCTCTTTAACTTCAAGCTTAAAAATATCACAACTTATTCGTTTAAAATGATTTTCTTTCTATGTATTCACAGTAAAGAGAAGAACAAGTCCATATCCATATTGCATATTAAAATATATCATTTATAATGAGTTGTTATAAGATTTGTTGTAAACTTTTAATAACAATTTTAACCACTATATCCAAACACAATTCAAATTTTATTCTAAATTTAAATTATACTTTATTTTGCATATCCAAACACCGACAAAAATATCAATTTAAATTGCCACAGTTCATATTTTATAATTTAAATAAAAAGCATTCAAATCACCAAAATTTAAATCCGTGAACAAATAAGGCCAAAAGACTTAATGTTAAAAGGAGATAAATATTGATAAATACTCTTTAAAAATGCATAGATCTTAATTTTTACCTCTTACTCTTGATTAATACCCTTTATAATCAAATAACTACATTAACAAAAGGTACTAATTTAGAATAAATAATAAAATTTCAGACTCATATATTTTTAAGAGTAAATTCTTTAAATTTATCTAAAGAAAGAGGGTGAATCTAAAAAAAAGATATCGAGCCTTGTTCTTTTTGCTGATATGGGTTTTAAATTAAACTTAAAAAGTGACTTGTAACGAAAGATTGAATCGTAATTTAAAAACAAAATAAAATTATAGATTATATTTCTTTAACTAGTTAATTTACTAAAAAATATATTTTTAAAAAAAAATTATCTATCTATTAATTAGTTATAATTTAAAAAATAAAAATATATAAATTAATATTAAAAGTAAAAAAAAAAAAACTATTTTCAGAATTATTTTTAAAAATTGCTCGTCAAACAAACAAAACAGGCCCCTGAATTACAGCTAGAACGCCCAGCTGAGCTGTACAATCATTGGCAAAGGCAAAGGCAAAGGCCCTTCCAGTTGTTCTAGAAACGACACTTGAAGATGAAACGAAACACTGACGACGCGACGCTTAACTCATTCACATGTCCCATCCATAAATATCACTTTCAATTCTCTCCTCACCACCGCCAGTCGCCAGAAACAACACACCAACAACCACACAAAAACACAAAAAGCAAAAAACAAAGAAAGATTTCACGGAATCTAAAAAAACCCCAAGAACAAAAAAAAAAAAAAAGAGCTAATTCCCAATCTGAAACTTTTACAAGTCGAAATCCAATCACAGTTTCCAGAAACGGAAGCAGTGGCTAGCTAGCAAGCCAGGATTTTCACTATGGTGATTAACATTTTCGTTTTTGCCGTTTTTGTTTTGGTCCACAACAGCAAAAATGGTGGGGGGTTTTTTTTTTTTTCTTTTTAAATGTCGTTCTTCTTCAGGTAACGGCGGCAAAACGCCAGATCGATTCAGGGCTTCCGAGCAGCAGCTTTCTGACGGCGCCGTTAATGGCGGAGCCGACGCCGGAGAGGGAGGAAGAGGCGGCGGCGGGGCCTTGCTTGATATCTTGCACGACTTTCAATATTTTGGCTCCAATCTACAAGAGGCTTGATCAGCAGGTATTATCTTCTCGGGCTTTTTTGATAACCGATGGATTTTTTCGACTGATTTTTTTTTTTTTTTTGGGTCTTGTTTTGCTTAGTTTCTTTGAATGGGTATGAGTGAAACAGAACCAAGCTCTTCGCGAGAGCCATTTTAGAGCGTTTTGGCTTGCCAGGAATGAAAGAATTTTGGATTGGCTGCTCTATGAGGCTTCTTCCATTATATGTCTGCAGGTGATTTATTTGTTTATTTTTAGCAATAACAAAAGAAGAATTTTATAACAGGTACTGTTTTATTTACTTTTATTAATCAATACTTTTCTGAGTAATTGTAAAATACCAGTAGTAATTATAGAATATACGATTATGACTCTTGACAAAGAATTTGACATGATAGTAACCCAAAATAAAATAATCAAAATCAGTATTATTTTTAAAACAGTTTATAGTGATAAAAAAAAACCCACGTTATTATTACCCTTTTCTGCTCTTGTTAGTTGGATTTATTTCTATTGCTTTGCGTATTGTTGTAAATAAATGAACTTTTTGTAAAGATTTTTAAGGGTTATACTTTATACTTCTTTTTTAAACTTTATTTGCTAAGTGAGCTTTCTTTTCTTTTTTTTTTTTTTTTTTTTTTTTTTTTTTTTTTTTGGGAATAGGAATTCTGGGTTGGGAATGAGGAACTTGTGCGTATGTACTTGGAGAGGCTTGGTGATGCAGGATACGTGACTTTCAAGCTTGCAAGAACCAACAACCGTGGTGATGGTAATTCAATCTATATACTTGATTTATTTAGTGTCGTTTTTAAAATCTTGACCAAGCCGTTAATGTCGTTTTTTTTTAATATATATTTCATGTCATGAATTTGCCATGTGAGTTTTAGTTTCTTATGATTGATAGATAGTTTGTTCAAATTCACCGATTTGATTATTCAAATTGGTACTGACCTAAGTGGGGTGATGAGGAATTCAATATCAGTATGACATACTTAGGTTTGAGTCATCCCATGTCGCTCAATTATACGGGCCGTGCGTGTTCGAGTGTTATCTTGGAATGCTAACATCTTCTTCCCTTTGTAATCTTATTTTTCAGCACGAAAAAGAAAGTTTGGTACCTGAATTTAACTTAATCTCGTTGGGTTTTCTCATAAATTGCTCCATGTTAGTGTCTTACTTGCAGACTAAGCTTCAATTTTAAGTTGGAATTCCATGATTCTTTCATTACTACTATTAGTTCGTGTTTTATGATTAAAAAAGCTATCAAGTGAATTTCTGTAACTATAAGTTAGTGCTCTTACTCAGAGACATTCTGTTTGTTTGCGGTATACAGGTCTGCTGACTGCTGTACGGAAGGACTACTTAAGGGTTCTAGACTATCGCGAATTGCTGTTTAATGACTTTGGAGACCGTGTTGCTCAGTTGCTACACGTTCAGTTAGACGTACCGCTTTTGCAAAACCAGAAAGGCAACTTTGCACGAGAAATTCTTGTTGTGAATACCCACTTGTTGTTTCCTCACGACTCCAGTCTGTGTATAGTAAGATTGCATCAGGTACTTTACTTATCCTCGAGATCATGGAACTTTATGCTTCTTATTCATATTATGGTCCTTGGTAGCCACATAAACAGTCATCCTAAGCGAAGGTATCATATATGTCTTCAAGCAGGTTTACAAGATTTTGCAATATGTGGAATCATATCAAAGAGAAAGTCAGCTCAATCCCATGCCTATTATGCTCTGCGGGTAAGTTTCCTATATTGTATTATTTAGTAATGTGTCCGGAGTATGTAAATTATGTGGCGTCTTACCATGTATCAATACTCTCCCACCTTGACAAATACTGGAATGGTCTAAGGGATGTGAATCGTGGGATAATAGTGGCCTTTGCCAGACGAAAATAAAAATGGAAATCCTCATCTTATTCTATTCGTTATGTTGTATTTTATGCAGTGACTGGAATGGAAGTAAACGCGGCCATGTATATAAGTTCCTTAGGTCACAGGGATTTGAATCAACATATGATACTGCTCATAAATATAGTGACAATGATGTAGAGGCTCACCAGGTAGATATACTTGAATTCCAATATAAATTCCTAGATTGGCTGTTCTAATGTCACTTTGTTTATATGCACTTCTTCTTATGTTCTACAGTGGGTCAGCCACCGGAATCATAGGGGAAACATCTGCGGTGTTGATTTCATATGGCTTTGCAATCCTAATAAATCACGTAAGCCACTAAAGACTAGTTGGGGTGAAGCAGTTTTCAGCATTGTAAAGGTAATTAGTTCATTTACGGTTATCTCTTATTATGACTAAAATTTTCCTCTGTAGCCTTTTTGTTCATATTGAGAGATTTTCTTTAGAAACTAGGGGCTTGTTCTTTTGAGTGAAAAACTCAAAAAAAGGCAACTCGAGTTACAACTTTATTCGAGTTTATGTTCTTTTAAATTTAAACTCGAGTTCAAACTCGAGTTTAGGACTAAAACTCGAGTTCAAGTTTCCCCTTCAACTCGAGTTCAGAAACTCGAACTCAAATTAATGAACAATATTTTTTCTATTCTTAAAAATATTATAACTTTTTCGTTTTAATTCTAATTGAGATGATTTTTTTTTCTATGCGTTGACAACGAAAAGACGAATAAAACCCGACCCATATACCCTATTAAAAATTTTCATCAACATTGAGTTTTTATTAAAATGCTATCTAAATACAAATTCAAGTTTTGACTCACTCAAACACAAACTCAAAAAGATTCTTATCTGAAACCATAACTCAAATGTACACAACCAAACACAAACTCAAGTTACAAGTTCAACTCAAGTTATAACTCAAATTCAACTCAAGAATTATACTCAAGTTAAACTCCAAAAGAACAAGCTGATGTATAACATTTGTTAGCGTTGACATTTGGCCATGCCTGTAAAAACATCAAGAGAACCTATTGATGAGAAGTCTCAGGTGACAAATGCTATTCTCCGAGTTTAAAGTTTCCCAGTTTCACTTGTTCTCCCCCTTGAACCCACGTATTTGCTATCGGTTCAGGGATGTAATTTGCTGTTCTGTTTTTCAGTATCAGCTCCGGAAAGCCTCAATGACTGAAATTGATGCATTCGCCTTTTTGAAGGGTGACAACCAGGGTGATTTTATTACGTACTCAGCCTTCGTTGAAGCACTCCGCCAGGTTCGTTTCATTAGGAGACATATTACAGAATGGAAGATGAATTGTCTTTGTGGGAACATAAGATTCACTTGTTTTCTACTCTTTCAGGTTAATTTAATTGGCGTGCCGTGTGGACTGAGTTTCCAAGAAACAAGGGAACTGTGGATCCAAGCAGACATCGATGGAAATGGTGTTGTTGACTATGAAGAATTTAAGGTAACTTCCACACCTAAATTGTTTGGTGTCTCCCTATATTCTCAGTTGTCTTAGCTATGTCGTCCTGTTTATCTGTCATCCACTGTGCTTTCTCATCACAAATCTATTCTACTGAATTATATTCCCTAATTCTCCTTCCATGGATATGCTGATATTAGAACAAGTCATTTACTGAGTTTTATTTTAGAGGAACTAAACCAAAGTTTGATTACTCTACCGTTATTATGGAACATTCCAAAGTGTTTTGATTTTACATATTCTTTGTTTTAAGATTTTTTTTTTGCCTGTTAATATTGCAGCAGAGGATCTGGAATGCTACGTCTTCAGACCGAGATCGGCTAGAGGAGGACTACAATGGGAATTCAGATGGTTCCAAACAAAGTGCTGAGGAAGGAGCAGCCCTTGGATTCAAAGTGAAGAATGCATCTCTCTTCCCTCGTGAGGTGGAAAAGGGAATGTGGCCGGAGCATTACTCTCTCTCTGATCACGCTCCTCTCACTGTTGTGTTTTCACCGGTGAAGATGCAGTGTTCTCTGCCTAGAAGGCACTCCTTGTGACAAATTAGTTAGAAAAACGGAAACAGAACTCACTCAAATTTAGATACATGAAGAAAGAATGAAGTTTTGTAAAATACGTGTACAGCGCATAGTAGCAAATTCCGTCTTAGACTGCTATTTTACTCGGCTTGGAGTCAGTATGTGCAATTTTTCATCGCCAAAAAGAGAAACAAAGTTGTAAAGAAGTAGAGTAAAGAAGTAGTTCGTTCACGATTCGAATCACAAATCAAATCTTTTGCTACAGTATTTTATCTCGCATATATTCACTTTGTTAACTCAAGTTCTCGACTGGAACCCGCGAAATGAATGTGTCGGAAGTAATTACCTGTATTGTACTATGAAAAGTACTGATTTTCATTTTAGCCTCAGCCATTGTTTTTCAGGCAGTGAGAGGTTTGTGAAAGAAATGCTCAAAATAAGAAAAGCTTTTTCAGGACATCGTTTGGTATCAAGTCAACCAGCTTTGACATCTTAAATTCATTGTTATATATTATTGTTACTTTAATTGAATGACTTTACGATGAGAAAGCCATTCCTTTAAGCATTTTCTATCATCTCTTGGATGTGGAATTAGTATGACCTCCTACCTAGCACCTGTTATGTCTTTGAATACATTAATCAAGAAATCTTCTTTCCTTGTTTTAGCCTTCCATATAACTACCATATAACACCAGTACCGTATTATCCAATTATACGTATATTCATGCATATGTATGTATTCTCATATGTGTGTACACATATTAGAGGAAGCGCACCATATGATTACAAGCAATTAAATTATTATTTCTTTTAGTTATATGTATATGAACAAATCATTAGTCAGAATTAATAACCCAAAAAAAATCATGTTAGCATTTAAAATTAGAGGTCTTTTTCTACGTCAACATATTAATAGATTAAATTCAGATTTACATAAAATCACATAAAAATTAAAAAAATATACATATTTAATAATTAAAAAACCTAATATATTAATACAACATGACTTATTGATACCTAAGGATTACCAAGAATCCCCCTAACTTTAAAAGAATAGTTTCTTTTAACTTTTGAATTTTCCTCGCAACGGACGTGGATAAAAGTGATTGTTACGAAATCGGTATACTAAAAGGGAGCAGAGATTAGTGGGGAGCATAACAGAATAAAGGAAACGGAAAGCCAAAAGATAGAACAAATGATATGACATTCAGTTATACATAATAGACTTGGTCGCTAAGTTTCAAATCATTATTTGAAAAAAAATTCCAAAAGGTGCTTTCATTTCTCGAGCATTAAAAAAAAAAAAAAAAAAAAAAAAACTTCTTAATTTCTCTATAATTTAACTCAAATTTCACTTATCATTCTGGATTCTCATCGTCAAATTTCACTCATCATTGTGGATTCTCATCGTCAAATTTTACTTATTATTGGTTGGGGTATTCTTCTCTTAATTTGAATCATATTTCATGATTCGCTATAATATTTTTTTCATAAAAAATACACTTAAATAAAAAATAATTATAATATCATAGTTCTAATTCATGAATCAAACGTCCAGACATCGTTCATTTTATTAATTTCAATTTTTAGTTTTAAGTTTCTACAATTAAAAATTCTCAGAAAATATCACATATAATTTTTTTTACTACAGTTAAAAGCTCTCAAAAAATGTTACATCTCAGCTCGAATTCAAAATAAAATCCGCGAAACGAACGAGGTATCTTTAGAAGTCGGATTTTGTGGGGGAAAGAAAATTTGAGGGAAAAAGAAAAAAAAATAAACAAGGGAAAAGAAATAGAAAATTTTCACCATATTTAGAACCTTAAGAAAATTTAAGGTCGGTTTAGTTCGCTTATTTAAATTTTTAATTCGAGTTAAGATATGATTTTATGTGATAATTTTTTATTATAATAAAAAAAATAAATGTGACTATTTTTAAAAACTTTTTACTATAATAAAATTTAGGACCCGTTTAGTTCGCTGTTTCGAGTTTTTAATTCGAGTTGAAATGTGACGTTATGTGAAAATTTTTTACTGCAGTAAAAAAGTTAAATGTGACTGTTTCTGAGAACTTTTTACTGTAACAAAACTCAAATTATAAACTCAAATCGACAAAATAAACAAAATTTTAAATTTTAAATTTAAATCGGTAAAATAAACAAGACTTTATAAAAAAAAAGGTCAAAATCCACTCAAATTTGTTATCCCTTGTTTCGTAGTTGAAGAAATTTATTAAAAAAAAATTTGATTTTTTTTTTTTAAATACATCAATTTATCTCTACTCATTCTCTCACCTCACTCTATCTGGGGCTGTCGTATGCTCCCCTAAATCTGGAAAAGCACGGGGCTACATCCGGCTCACCGTCGAATTGGAACACAAACCTGGGATCCGGTTCGAACCGGACGACGATGTGCAGCTTGACGGCGTCTTCGCCGAGCTTCATCCACCCAGCCTGAAAAACTGCTGGCTTGGAGTCGGCGCCGGCGAGGGCAAGGGCGAGGGCGACGTGGAGGCGGCCGAGGAGCTTCCTGATGAAGACGTCGCAGTGCGGCCCATGCGGCCGGTGTAGATGGAGACACGGAGGGTGAGATGGCGTCGGGAGGAGAGGCAGCGCAGGGCGGCAGAGTCGAGGTGGAAGCCGGCGAAGGAGGTAGCGGAGTCGGCGGCAGAGGAGGTGGAGAGAGCGGTTTAGGAAGGGAAGTTGTAGAGGCGGAGCTTGCAGAAGTAGGGCGTGGCTGATGGGTGGACTCCGGAAAAATTTTTCCCATTTAAATTTTTATTTTCCTCCTAAATTTTTAAGGAAAATGAAATCCACCAGTTATGTTATACAAAATCCACCTATTTTTCTATGTTATTTTTTTTCCCACATTTTCCTCTGGCTCCAAACAAAGAAAAGCTAAAATCCATCGCAAATTTTTTTCCTTCCTCCAAATAATCCGGTTCCAAACAGGTCCTAAATACGTTGGTTAGATATCTTTACTTTGTTTATTCATCATGTCACATATTAATTGATGAAGACTCATTTCATCATTTAGCTCAGCAATATGCGAGAATAGCTTATTCTAATATGGGAAGATAGGCTGTTCATGAAGCAATCGAAGTTTAATGAGATGTAACAAATTTCAACCAAGTAGACTTCATCTTATGAATATATTTTAAAATTTGATATTCTTAATAATGTTAGTTTGTAATCGATGTAAAACTATATAGTCCGTTTAATTCGTTAATTTGAGTTGAAATATAACTTTATGTGAGAATTTTTTTATTGTAATAAAAAAATTAAATGTAATTATTTTTTAAAATTTTTTATTATAATAAAATTTAAATTCTAAATTTAAATCGGTGAAATTAACGAATATATTTTCTTTTTTACAATTACAATTGCATTAAACAAAACAAAACAATCACGGTCACGACTCAAAACTCAAGCCAAAACCAAAAATAAAATTTCTCATGCGGGATAATCACACACTTAACTACTTTGTGAGCCACTAAGCCTTAACATTCAATTCGCAACGACAGACACAATTAAATTTTATTAAAAACACAGACTATTAAAAAATAATTAAGCTAAAACGCAAGGTGTTAATGCGCTTTTAAAAAAAAAAAAGGAAAATCTTATTATGCCCCCTCTCCGTCCGCCACTGTCCCCAACAATTATTTGTTTTCCTTGTGACTTTGATGTCATGATTGTGACGAGAAACGGACGTACTTTATTCTCAAATAACAAACGTCCAAGGATTAGCAAAAATAAAAAATAAAAAAAATAAAAAAAACAAACGTCCAAGGAAGTCAAAGAGAGAGAACAAAAATAAAAAAGAGTGAGCAGGTGGGTCTACTTTCCGACGTGGCACCATGAAGCCACGTGGCAATTTTTGTGTCACACGTCACGCAGACAACTTCCATAGGAAGGGAAGCCAATTCCAATTATTCTATATAACTTGTAAACTGTAATAAAGTCCATCAGGAGCTACCCACTAACCCTGTTTCTGCTTCAATTTGTGTTCTTCTTCATGAATCACTGGTTCTCAATAAACCCATTTTCATATTTCTTCAATTCCTTTGTCACTTTAAACCACTAAAACCAGGAAAAAAAATTTAAAAAAAAAAAACTGAAGAGAGAAGGATGAGTATAATAACATTGCCACCAGGAATGGCTAAGGGGTTCAGATTCCATCCCACAGATGAGGAACTCATCACCGATTACTTGAGGCCCAAGCTTCTTGGAAGAGATTCCGACGTCGATGACGTCATCGCCGAGGTCGATTTCTGCAAGTTCGAGCCTTGGGATTTACCTTGTATGTTCTTTCTCGATCGGTTTTGTTCTTTAGTGTCCTTTAACTTTGTTGATCATTAATGTATTCATTTTTTAAAATTTTGTTTTCTCAGCGCAATCGAAGATAAAGTCGAAAGATCGGATGTGGTTGTTCTTCTGCAAACGGGATTACAAGTACCCAAGCAGTAAACGGTCGAAAAGGACGACCAAAGAAGGGTTCTGGAAGATCACAGGAAAGGAACGGATGATAAAGGATCAAGAAACGAAGAAGTGCATTGGAAAGAAGAGGACTTTGGTGTTCCACAAGGGTCCCACTCCTGGCCAAAGGACCAACTGGGTCATGCATGAATACTACATTGAACCTCATAATCTCCTCCCCAACCAGGTACTTTTGCTATATATACGTATACGTATATATATATATATATAATATGTATATATAACTTCAGTCGTTAGATAGATTTTGCAGTTACAAGTTCGTTTTAATACGCTCAGATTATTGTCAAGAGCGTGTATTAGTGCGGTTTATGAGCTATATAGCCTATATTGTTTATATTTTCTCTAGACCATAGATTGTAATCATTCATTTGCAATCAATGTGTGTAGAATGAGTTGGGGGTCCTCCTCAACATCAAGTGTTTTTGTTACATATACATATACATATATATTTTTTATTTTTTAACTAAAGTAGGACGTCCATAACTCTTAGTTCTGGTCATAGTTATAATGGTAAGTTTTCATGAATCTAATGCAATTTACTAATTCACGTTCATAGTTATAATGGTAAGTTTTCAATGAATCTAACGCAATTTACTGATTTGATATAGGTAACACAATAGTGATTCCAACTGGCAATTAGTTAACTTTTGTTCTATGAATTATGCAGCGGTCCTATGTTCTTTGCCGCTTGAAGGAAAAAGCGAATGACAAGGCTAATACTCCAGACAGCGGAGAAGGCAATCGAAGCGCGTCTGAAGCTGAAAATCCTGTAACACCTGCTGCAATTCCATCGGTGAAAAGAATCATGCTCTTTATACTTTTCTCAATGTCAAGTTACTCGTATAAATTATGAGAGAGTCAAACATATGCTTGTTTATGTTTCATAATTCCTTCCAGGCGGCACATGGTAATGAAGTGAATCAGGAATCGTTCTCACAGTCACTGCAATCACCTGTTTTCACAAACGAGGAGATCAGTTTACCATCACCGGTTGGCTCTTCACGCGACCGAAATGGGATGCAAGCTCCGTACGGAGCTGGTGAACCAGAAGAGCCTCCGGAAGAGATGGTGGATAGACTTATTGCTGACTCAGATGCTGACCCCTATCCGAAATACTATTGGGAATCGGCATATAATCCTTTCAATGACCGCATCCCGCAAGCATCATCCTGGAGTCCGTATTATGTGGATGGTCTGGTCAGAAGTGACACGAACACTGAAGGAGTCAACGAACAGGTAAAACGATCTCATTTATTAGCTCTTGGAGAATGCCTCCAATAGCTAATGAACCACTATAGGAGAATATCAGAAAGAGATTTGTAATAATGTGCGTCTCACTCACATTATTACAATCATATCAGTTGTCTAAAGGCATGACACTTGAGCTAAAGTGCTAATTAAGAGACCAGTACCTTAAATCATGAAAAGCGGCCAAGATTTCCCTGAGAAATAAAAGGAATCACTCTGTAAATAAAGGCAGCATTGATTCTTAAGAATATAGACTGCAGTGTAAGCCAAATGAATATAGCCTGACAGATGAAAAACTTCTGGTGGAAGGAATCAGGAAAACAACCCATGTGTGCGCACGTTCTCTCTCTTTATTTTTGTAAATTATTTTTGTTATATTTGTAAGAATAAAAATCAGAAAAGCTTACACTTTCGCTCATCTTTTTGTTACATCAGAAACATTCAAGCTTGTTCAATTCACCAGCTGGTTCAAACAAATTCAGACATTTACAAATGGATGAAACAACTTGTGGTGAACTACAATGCTGTTACGTTTCCATTCGTGATCAGTTCTCCGAAGAGGATGATTCCTATGTCAATATTGCATCCGGAGGATTTTCCACGGAGGAAAGTCCAAACTACGTCCCTTTTAGTAGGCGACGTTGTCAGAGAAGAATTCAACTGCAGGATAGAGATTCATCCACAGCAATATCTCGAAACAAGGTATTAAAAACAAGCTGAAGCATTGGAAATTCAAAGAGTATTCTTTATGCTTATAAAGTGAAAACGTATCAACGTTATTATATAGAAGCAGAAAAAAATAAATCAAAACAAAACAAAACAAAAGGATATACATTAGGAGCCAACTTTGTTGGAGCAAAATTTCGTCCAACACTTATCCAATATCCCTAGACTAATAATTTGAATTGAATAAGCAAATTATTCAAGGAAATTGGAAAAACACTCGAAGAACACAAAGAATCTCTGAAGGAATAACAAAAACAAAATGATGACAATCACAAGACAATTGTATTTAGAAAATGAGTGTCCGTCTTTTCCTCTCAAATTGAGAGAATTTATAGTACATTAGGATTGAGGGAGTTTAATTCTCCCATTAATTCGAGAGTTTATTCTCTCTTAATTATAATAAGGCTCTTCACCTTTGTGTGAGTAAAAACTGATAAATAATCAATGAGAATTAACTTTCAACCATTCAATGTCTTTAATTAGCGTCCGTTACTTCACTTGATAACATCACGCGACCTTTGAACTTTCGTCTCCGGCGAACTTGGGCTCGGGAGAGCTTGGGCTCCGGCAAATTTGGGCTCTGGAGAACTTGGGTTCGGGAGAGTTTGGGCTCGGGAGAGCTTGGGCTCTGACGAGCCTTTGGGCTCCGGAGAACTTGGGCTCGGGAGAGCTTGGGCTTGAAATTACTTGGGCTCAAGAGAGCTTAGGCTTCGACGAGCCTTTGAATTTATTGCACATTTAATGATTCCGGAAATGCCGGCCAACAAACTCTATCCTGGTAATTTGACCACCATATTATTTCTGTTCGCAGGTTAGAGAATCCGAGACACATAATTCACTTTCCCTGTCAGAATACTGCTTCTTTCCGGTACACGTTATCGTGGTTTTGCTGGCAGCTTTCTTTCTCCTGGTGCAAGAAGCCAGAAGAAAAAAGAGTTCATTTAAACTGTTCTGTTCTGTTCTGTTCTATTCTGTTCTGTTTTGTTCTTCTTGGTGTAAAGTGAAAGTCCCACGGCACATATGTTGCGGTGAATGATGAAATCGCATCGCTATTTCTTCTATTTTCATGACAATGGCGTCTTCATATAATCGAGTATAAAAGGCTTGTCAAATGCTCAATGACAAATAACTCCTTGTAGATTCTAGCACCTTCGCCACGTCATGGCAAGGGTTTTGTTATTTTGTCCAGATGCATTAGTCAAGAAATTCTCTCTTTATTCTTTTAGCCTCCAATTTTTAGTCACTATATGATCGTGAAAAGCCATGGAAAATTGTAGTGACACTCTGATTTATGTCTATAAGACACATCTGATCAACTTAATTACAGTAACAGCCATTTGACATGAACTTAATCACAATTAGATTAAGAAGAGAATGTGGCCGGAGCATCACTGTCTTCTTGATCATGCTCGTTCTCACGCTGCCGCCGCCATGTTTGCGCCCCCGTAAGGATGTCGTGTTCTCAGCCTAGAGAGGCACTCATTCATTAGAAACAAGGAAGGACAGAAACAGAACACTCATAAAAATGGATAGATGAATGGAGAAGAAGAGAAGAGTTTTGTAAAATGTGTACAGCGTGGCGACACACACAGGTGGCACACTGGAATTAGTGGATTGCCAAGTCAGATAGCCGAGTGGGATGCCACATGGTGTGTTAGTTAGTTAGTTACAAGGGGCGTTTTAGGTAAACCTTATTTGCAGAGAATTCAATTAGTTCATTGAAACATGATAAAAGGTTTTTTTTTTATTTTTATTTTTTTATTTATTTTTAAATGTAGTTTAGGCCCCGTTTGTTTCACAGGTTTGACTTGAGAATTTTAGTTGAAAAGTGAATTTATGTGAGTAAAAATATTATAATAAAAAAAGAATTTAAATTTTATAAGAGAAATGTCGTAATAAAAAGTTTGAGTGTAGTTTAGGCCCCGTTTGTTTCACAAGTTTGACTTGAGAATTTTAGTTGAAAAGTGAATTTATGTGAATAAAAATATTATAATAAAAAAAGAATTTAAATTTTATAAGAGAAATGTCGTAATAAAAAGTTTGAGTTGCGATTTAAATTATGAAACAATGAAGCCAAAGTTTTTAGTTTTTCAGCTGCATTCTTTACTGAGATTAAAGAGAACTCTAGTGAGAGAAATTACTCCGAGTGTACATGGATTTTTTTTTTTTTTGGGCAAAAATGCACGAGGAATTTGCGTGTGATCATCTTAAGCACTAAATGGTCTTTGAACAATGCTATGGGATGCCAGTAGAACCACCCACTTACTCTCTTCTATTGTAGTCGTGTTTAATCGGTGGTGTTTTTAAGTGTTTTTCATGGAGCACCTTTATTCATTCCACGAGACTTAAAACCACGCAATTCACATAAAATGAGTCTCACTAGGTGAATAGGTATGACTTAATCTAGTGAGATTCATTATTTTATGAGTGCGATATTTATTTTGAGATAAACGAATCATTTTTTTTAATTAATTTCACTGGTGTCTCTTAAATTTTGAGTTCATTTTCACTTTACCCTATAAATTTTAAAAACTCTCACTTTGTACCTAAACTTTGAATTTGTCCCATTTAAGTTCTTTTATAATAATTTTTGATAAAATCAGACATAAAAAAACAAAGATTAAATGTGACTGTGTCATTTTTATCTGTTTATTTTTTACAAAAATTTAAACAAAAAGATTATGTTACTATATTATTCTTTTTTTTACATATTTTTAACAGAAATTATAATAGAAAGAATTAAATGAGAATAATGTAAAATTTAAAGAGTAAAATAAAAAATTTTAAAATTTAAAAGGTAAATCGAAAATAACAATAAAATTTAAGGGTACGGTGATAATAAATTTTTTTTTCTTTTTCATGGTCCCTAGTTTACAATTCCAATCTTCCAAGCAGGTGGGATCCACTCATCCGATGTGGCACCCCGAACCAACGTGACCATTTCTGTGTTTACCCGTAGACAACTTCTTCAAGAAGGGAAGCCAAATACGCTTTTTATATTATTAAAAAAAAAAAAAAAAAAAAAGACAAACACTCTTTAGACGACTTATGATCAGCAGAAGCAGCACAAGTCAAACTGTACGGAACAATAGCAAAGACATACTTCATTAATAATATAAAATAATCTCCGCATTGTTCCTTCTGTATCTACAGAGAAATTAATGTCCGTTTATTTTATTAAATAAAATTTAAATTTTAAATTTTATTATAATAAAAAATTTTAAAAAATAATCACACTTAATTTTTTATTATAATAAAATTTTTTTATATAAAATTATATCTCAATTTAAATTAAAAACATAAATGAGTGTATTAAACAAGCCCTCAAATCTCAGCAAAAGTCCTTTTGTCACTGCTTCAACTTTGCTTCATCATGAATCAGTAGTACCCACTAAACACGTTTCGTTTTTTACATTCCTTTTGTCACTTTAAAAAAAAAAAAAAAAACTGAAGGGAGAGAAATTGATGGAAGAGAGAAGAATGGTTATAATAGAATTGCCACCAGGAATGGCTAAGGGGTTCAGATTCCATCCCACCGATGCGGAACTCATCACCGATTACTTGAGGCCCAAGCTTCTTGGAAGAGATTCCGACGTCGATAAAGTCATCGCTGAGGTCGATTTCTGCAAGTTCGAGCCTTGGGATTTACCTCGTATGTTCTTTCTCGATCGCTTTTGTTCTTTACTCTCCTTTAACTTTGTTGATCATTAATGTATTCTTTTTTTTTTTTTTAATTTTGTTTTCTCAGCGCAATCGAAGATAGAGTCGAAAGATCGGATGTGGTTGTTCTTCGGCAAACGCGATTACAAGTACCCAAGCAGTAAACGGTCGAAAAGGACGACCAAAGAAGGGTTCTGGAAGATCACAGGAAAGGAACGGGTGATAAAGGATCAAGAAACGAAGAAATGCATTGGAAAGAAGAGGACTTTGGTGTTCCACAAGGGTCCCACTCCTGGCCAAAGGACCAACTGGGTCATGCATGAATACTACATTGAACCTCATCTCCTCCCCAACCAGGTACTTTTGCTATATATACGTATACGTATATATATATATATATAATATGTATATATAACTTCAGTCGTTAGATAGATTTTGCAGTTACAAGTTCGTTTTAATACGCTCAGATTATTGTCAAGAGCGTGTATTAGTGCGGTTTATGAGCTATATAGCCTATATTGTTTATATTTTCTCTAGACCATAGATTGTAATCATTCATTTGCAATCAATGTGTGTAGAATGAGTTGGGGGTCCTCCTCAACATCAAGTGTTTTTGTTACATATACATATACATATATATTTTTTATTTTTTAACTAAAGTAGGACGTCCATAACTCTTAGTTCTGGTCATAGTTATAATGGTAAGTTTTCATGAATCTAATGCAATTTACTAATTCACGTTCATAGTTATAATGGTAAGTTTTCATTGAATCTAACGCAATTTACTGATTTGATATAGGTAACACAATATATAGTGATTCCAATGTATAGGTTCAGCTTTGTTTTCGTATCATCTAACTGGCAATTAGTTAACTTTTGTTCTATGAATTATGCAGCGGTCCTATGTTCTTTGCCGCTTGAAGGAAAAAGCGAATGACAAGGCTAATACTCCAGACAGCGGAGAAGGCAATCCATGCGGCGATATCACGTCTGAAGTTGAAAATCCTGTAACACCTGCTGCAATTCCATCGGTGCAATTCCAGGTACATGGTCATGCAGAAGGGAATGCTGAGTCGCCCTCGCAACTAGTTTCCTCACCAGATGGCTTCCTCACTGAGGTGGAAATGAGTTCGATCTTGGAGGATTGCCTCAATGACGATCAAAATACCCAGTTCGTGCATGAGAACCATCCCAACCCAGAAAATTCCCTGCCTCATCAGGTTTATAGTTACTTCTTAACTGGTATTGCGATTGCTGATTTAAGTTTGGTGGGTTTTTAGTCTATTGCCTTGTTTTTACGCTTTTTATGCACATTTTCTATTATGCATATGTTGTTGTTGTTCTTGTTTGTTTGTTTGTTTTTTTTTTTTTTTTTGTTTGTTTGTTTTTTTGTTTTTTTTTTTTTTATCGCTCCATCACATCGCTTATAACTAGTGTCCTACATTGATTTTGCGGTTCCATGTTTATTTTAGCAGCTTAAGATTATTGTATGTAAGAGCAGTTGTTAGTTCAAACACATTTTATTTATTTATTTCCCTAGATATGCAGCCCACCGTATGACGCTTTTGTAATCAATAGCTATAGAAAGACTTAAGGCCTTGTTGAGCAAGAGGGAGAGAAACATGAGCAAGAGGGAGAGAAACATGGAGAGAAAAATCGTCAATACTAAATTTTGTAGATCTAAAGATGAGAACAAGTCTCTCTAGCACCACTAAACCTGTCCTTCTACCTCCTCTCTAGAAAGCTAGTGAACGTCGCTCGATAGCTTTTCGATGACAGCAAGCATTGGTCGCTGTGACGCCGAAGGGTGCCGACGATTCTGGTGGGAGTGGAGCTATCGCGCGATACCGATAGTGGTGTAGATTTATGAGTGCTCCTGCTACATATTGTCGTCCATGATGGTTTTTTTTTTTTAATATTTTCTTTTAATGGTGTTCCACTGGCGTTTGTGCATAAACGACATGAGGATGGAAGTTTTTTTATTTTCCTTTTAATTTTTTTTAAAGAAAAAAAGAAGGCTTGGTAAATAATTATTTTATATTACCTTTTAAATGGTAAATTGGTCAAAATAAAAATAATGATGACCCATTCCATAATGTTTATTAAATTTTAACCAAACAAATGAATCAATTTTTCTTTCCATTTTATTCCATTGCCATTACCATTCCTATTCTCATTACTATTCCGTCACTACAACCAAACGCACCCTTAGTTCTGGTCATAGTTATAATGGTAAGTTTTCATGAATCTAATGCAATTTACTAATTCACGTTCATGGTTATTGTTATGTGGGAAAATATGATGGACACCTGGACCAACGGCACAACGACACGTGGCTATACTTGCTTTCCGCTGAGCACTCAACCCTCGACGCTTTGTTTCCCTCAAGATCAGCTGTAGAGAGCCCGAAGATGAAATCCATGATTAGGGCGATGACCCTATGAGGCGTCGACGGTTGACTCCGCCTGGGTTGACACGACAAGATCCCTCGACTGCAGAAAAGATCGCTAGAGAGGGCGAGAAAGGCTAAACAGCGCTGACGACGAGGGGAACGTCCCTTTAAGACACGACGGGTTACGTGCAAAAGTAAGAGAAGTCTGACAGCATTAATTGCAAGTTTACAAACCGCCCCCCTCAGAGGACAGAAAAGCATTACGGAGAGTCACAGAGCCGTAATAGAAGACTAATTGGTTGAGTGAACAGTACTAATTAGTGGGCTATGTCTGGGCCTAGAGAGAGAGAGTACTTGAGTGTTCCTACCTACGAAGGAAACCCACCCAGTGAAGGAAGCCCGAGTATAAAAGAAGAAGGACCCCCAACAGGGAAGAGAACCAGAGATCCCAGAGGAGAAAGAACAAGAGAGATAGCATTTATTGTAAATTATAATCTCCACAAAAGAAATACAATATACACAGTGGATGTAGCTCTAATTTTATAGAATGAACCACTATAAAATTCTTCTTGTTCATTTACATATAATTCATTCAAACACAAAAATACTTAAATCAAATTAGAATCCACACTTTTAACAAACCCACAAGCCGATAATCCAAAGGGTAACCCCAAGGTAATCCGGCGGGTTTATTGTTGACGAAATCCAACCGTCAACAGTTATAATGGTAAGTTTCTATTGAATCTAATGTATATTCATAGTTATAATGGTAAGTTTTCATTGAATCTAACGCAATTTACTGATTTGATATAGGTAACGCAATTTACAGAAGAGTTTCCGGAAGAGATTATGGATAGACTTTCTGCTGACCCAGATGCTGACCCCTATACGAAATACTATGGGGAAGCGGCATATAATCCTTTCATTGACCGCATCCCGCAAGCATCATTCTGGAGACCGTATAATGAGGATGGTCTGGTCAGAAGTGACACAAACACTGAAGGAGTCAACGAACAGGTTAAACGATCTCATTTATTAGCTCTTGGAGAATGCCTCCAATAGCTAATGAACCACTAGCTCTATAATACATATATATTTATATACATGCCTTTCCATGTTAACCTCCATTATAGTAGGAAAATACCTTCACTATTAAGCAACATACGACCTAGAAGAATTAAAAACAAAAACAAAAACAAAACAAAAAAACACCTTAAAACTAAAAATTTTGAGATCTTGTCCAAAAAGTTTTCCAGCCTATAACCAGTTCGCCACCATGTAACCAGAAGAAATTGCAGGTTTCCTTGCTCTAGTAGATATTCTTAATGTTATATCAACATTCTTTTGTTGAGGATGTTGAAAAAGTAGATTTATAGGAATAACCTCATGGTTTGTCGAATCCTGATGATTATCCTGGAAAAGAATCGGTCTACTTGAAGACTCAAGAATCGATTTAGTCTTGAGGTTTTCCTCAAACACTAAGTCCTCCCGAGGTTTATCACTTCCACTAATCACATCATTCTCTAAAAACCCGGCATTCTGATATTCTACAATTTTTGTAGCCCGACAAGGATTATAAAATTTGTATCCTTAAGACTTTCCGAAGAGCCATATATATATATATATATATGTGTTTGCAACATGCTTTTCCATATACAGAGAACAAACACAGACTTATGTTGTATCTTCACCGAATGGATTCATGATCCCGATTTAAATTTGAAACTGAACATCACAAAGCCATCATTATTGACAACCTAATATGATGAAAAAGAAAAAGGTTTTAAATGCTCTAAAGCACCGACAACCGAAACGGTGTTATGTGCATATATCTACCTTATTTTCTCCATATGGATAAAATCAGAAACACCCAGTGAAATTACACGACATCGAAATAAATCTCTGATAAAATATCTAAATTGAACCCGATGCATATATGAAGACAAAATTTCAGGACACATACATATGCTCTCGTATAGTACCAAAAGAAAACACACCAAACTATGCGAGAATCAAGAACGACAGTGAAATATTTATGCCAAGAATAAACCGAAAGCCAAACTAGAGATATTGCTCTGATACCAAACTGCTGAAGAAATTTTCAAAATTACAAATAAAAGCGAAGCAATGGATCGTATCTCTAGCCAGAGCAATGAGATTCAACAGCTTGTCAGAAACAATTTTACAGATAGTTTGGCTAGTCTATACAAGACTTAATATCCATGCCAAGATCCACGGGGAGTTTTCCTAGGAATTAGGAATCTCCTTGGAGAACAGGGGGCCGTCAGGTTTTCTTTCACCAGATGATCCTAGGCACGCGAAAGAGACTTGCGTCGAGTAGGTGTATATCATTGCATTATGAGTAAGGAAAGCTTTGTAATAGACTGACAGATGAGTAAACTTCTGATCAAAAGAATCAGGAAATACACCCATGTCTGTCAGTTTATGTATGTGTACTATCATTGTATAATAAATAAAAAAGAAAAAAAAAAAAACCCCCTTGGAGATTCTGTCCAAAAAGTTTTCCAGCCTATCGCCATGACCAAAAATTCCATCCAATTAGGTCTATCTAAAGTTGCAAGGCAATCATTGCTCAGTGACCAAGGCTCCACCACATGGCCCTTCTTATGCAAAGAACAATAGAACCAAATCCGTTTCCAACTAAGTATGATGCCAATCTCTTGGTCTAGCTTTGTGATGAAGCTTATAAAATTCTGCAAAACCCATCCACACCTACCCATTCATCTTAACCCAAGATGGAAAACACAAATAATATGGTTTTGATGAATATGTGTTTTAGCAGCAATTTGCTTGCAGGCCTAAATGTTCTCTATTAAGAAGAATCTTTTTTGAAGGATAGTAAAAATAACATTTTGGCCGGCAAGAAAATTGCTATACGGGAGTCGTCGAAGTTCATATTGTCCCAAAACTACAATAATATCTGTTGTCTAAAGACATGACACTTGAACTAAAGTGCCAACTAAGAGCCTTATAACTGAAATCATGAACTGCTTTAGCAGCCAAGATTTCCCCAAGACATAAGGAACATGCTATAAATAAAGGCGTCATTGATTCTTTAGAAAATTGCCTGCTATGGAAGTCAAATAAAGGCCCCTTTGCCTTAGAAAAACTTCAAATTCAAATATCCTGGCATGTTTTCCAAGGACTTGGATATTTCCTTGAAGGAACTGGTCTCTGTCAGGTTTTCTTTCACCAGCTGCTCCTGGAAACGCAAAACAGACTCATGTCGAGTAGGCGTATTTCCTTGTAGTAGGAGTAAAGGAAAGCTTTGTAATAGACTAACGGATGAAAAAATTTCTGATGAAAAGAATCAGGAAAAACACTCGTGTGTGTGTGCGTGTTCTATCACTTTATTCCTATAAATTGTTTTCATTCTATTTGTAAGGAAAAACATCAGAAAAGCTCACACTAATTCTCATCTTTTAGTCACGGCGAGCAAAACGGGGTTTAGGCTTGTCCGATTCACCTGTTGGTTCAAAGAAAACTCAAATTTTGCAAATGGCCGGAATATCTTCCGAAGAACTGCAAGGTGACATTCCTAGGGAACGTCGTCCGAGAATTCAACCGCAGGATAGAGTTTCATCCACAGCAGCATCTGGAAACATGGTAGGATATCAAGAACTGCAAATGGGCCTTACTAGGGAACCTCCTCTGATGAGAGTGCAACTGCAGGCAGGAAGAGTTTCATCCACAGAAATATCTGGACACATGGTAAGAAAATCAAGCTGGAGCATTACAAATTAAAAGAGAAGCCTTTATGCTTCAAAAAAGCAAATGTGTTAAAATGGCATTATATTGATCTCCATATTATTGCTTTTTGCAGGTTCACACAGAAGCCGCAACAAATGATTCAATTTCACGCTTAGACCGTTGCATCATTGCAGTAGTCTTCTGCATCATTGCAGTAATCGTCGGTTTCGGTCTGGTGGTGTTGGGTATATGTGATATAGTGCTGTCGCAACTCAGAAGACAATGCAATGGCGTTAAATCCCACGGCACACATGTTGCCGTGATGAATTCGCTATACTTGTATGCATTTATAAGCACTCTTTTATTTTCATGACAATGGAGTCTTGGTATAATGAATCTGAGTGTGTGTGTATAGAACAGGATTTTGCTTCATCGGCCTCAACCATGTTTCTCAGAGAGAAGCTTGTCAAATGCTCAAGAACATATAACAATAACTCCTCGTGGGATACTTTATTGTTTTGCTCCAAATATATTTTCGCATTGAGTTTCCTTACTATTATTATTGTTTCCTCATTGGATTTTGTTTGTCCAAGTGCATAAGTCAAGGAATTCTCTCTTCTTCTAGCCTCCAATTTAGGCATTATATAATAGAGAGTATCCATATAATGGCACCTTTTTTTTTTTCCTTTTGAAAGGATTTCATCTACTTCTTAACAGCTTTTTATTCCCCAAAATGTAGGACATGTAAACATAGGTTTTTTTTTTTTTTTTTTTTTTTTTTTTTTTTTTTTTTTTTTTTAAATTCTCTAGAAGTTAACTCAAGTCTCATTTTTCATCATATGAGAGAAACAAAAGATAAAAAATGTAGCCCTCCTCATTTTTTCATTATTTTCTCCTTTTCTTCTAACAGAGAAACAAAATATAATTCCACAGTCACTTAATGTAACGCAATCACATATACATTTTTTTCCCCTTCATTTATGTATGCAAAAAGATACGTTGTGAATCTATTTCTCGAACGTGATTCAGGATTGTTCTTTTATATTTTTGAGTTAGGGTGACTTGAGTAATGATTTTGAGTTGAGTTTGAGTTATAACTTGAATTGAAGTTGTAACTTGAGTTTGTGTTTGGATGTGCACATTTGAGTTATAATTTGAATTGAGAATCTTGTTGAGTTTGTGTTTAGGTGGGTCAAAACTTAAATTTGTATTTATATAGTATTTTAATAAAAATTAAATGGTGATGAAAAATTTTAATTGGGTATAGGGGTGGGGTTTTATTCGTCTTTTCGTTGTGAATGCATAAAAAAAAATCATCTCAATCATAATTAAAATGAAAAAGTTATGACATTTTTAAGAATAGAAAAAATAATAATGTTCATTAACTTGAGTCCGAGTTTATGAACTCGAGTTAAAGGAGAAACTTGAACTCGAGTTTAGCCCTAAATTTGAGTTCAAACTCAAATTTTACAAAAGAACATGAACTTGAATAAAATTGTAAATTCGAGAAGATACTGAATAGAAGATGGATTTCAGCAAATATTTCTGAGTAAAGCTTCTCAAATTTATTAAATCAGGATTGCACCCAAACTCAAAAAAAAATTGAACTCAAGTTACAACTTTATTCAAGTTCATATTCTTTTGTAAAATTTGAGTTTGAACTCGAGTTTTTAACTTGAGTTTGGGGCTAAAATCTGAGTTCAAGCTTCCTCTTCAACTCAAGTTCCTAAACTCAAACGCAAGTTAATGAACAATATTTTTCTATTCTTAAAAATGTCATAATTTTTTCATTTTAATTCTGATTGAGATGATTTTTTTCTATGCGTTTACAACAAAAAGATGAATAAAACCTCACCCATATACCATATTAAAATTTTCTATTTCCATTGAGATTTTATTAAAATACTATCTAAATACAAATTCAAGTTTTGACACACTCAAACACAAACTCAAATAGATTCTTAATTTAAACCATAACTCAAAATATACACATTTAAACACAAACTCAAATTAGAGTCTCAACTCAAAGTATACTCAAATACGCCTTAACTAAAATCAAAATCTGAAGTCAAATCACTCTAATTTAAAAAATGCAAATGAACAAATCTATTATCTTCTCTTGCTTTATTGTCTTTTAAGCAGAAGATGGATTTCAGTAAATATTGTGAGGGAATTTGGTAAAATTATATAGCGTGCAATAAAGAATTATTTCAGTCATATATCAAACTGGAAAGATTATAATCCAACAGTCAACACAACAAACAGGAGTGTTTCTATCACAAAAAGAAAATCAATTAATAAAAAATAATAATAACACAATAAACTGGAGTGTAGCGGCCCCCAAGAGTCTTTCAAACTGGGGTTGAGTTGGTGGGTTCTACCATCCAACAAGGCTCAAGGCAATCTGATGCCATGTGGATACTCACGGTGCTGTTAAGCACCATGTGAAACTTATAAAAATATATTTAGTTTATTAATTTAAATTTTTAATTTGAGTTAAAATGTAATTTTATGTATATATTTTTTTATTTTAATAAAAAAATTAAATATGATTGTTTTTTAAATTTTTTTACTATAATAAATTTTAAATTTTAAATTTAAATCGATAAAATAAATAAGACTTAATAACACCAATATTTTATTAAATAATAGTATTTAATATTCACGATGTCTTTTAACATTTTTTGGGCGATGTTATTCGTCCCGAGCGTGCGATTCGTACGACCCAGCTGTCTCCTTCTAATTTAAGCCAGGAAACAAGGCCCAAGCCACATGGCAGGCGTTAGTAACTCTAAAAGTTCATAAATAATCTTTTGTTCCAAGCACTTTCCTTAATGTTTCAATTAAAAAATAAAAATAAATAAAAAGAACCCAAATCACGCTCAGATTTCTTTTTGTTATTGGATTGCTTCCTGGTTCATTGTTGTTTGATTTCAAAATTTCAGGCCTTCGTTCATTTAGCTGATTCGAGTTTTACTATAGTAAAAAGTTCTCACAAACAGTCACATCTAACTTTTTTGTTATAGTGAAAAATTGTAACATAAAATCACATCTCAACTCAAATTAAAAACTCGAATCAACAAACTAAACGTGTCTTCAATATCAAACGAGGCCTTCCACAGACACTAGCTCTCTTGTGACGCGAACTTGAGGATGCACACGAATTGGAGAGATCTCGGTTCTTGTGGATCTAAAGAGCCATTGGAAGGAGCCATGGTGAAGAAGTCACGTCGTTCATTTTTGGTGTCGGCAATGGAAAGGTAAAGTCATGAATGCAATCGAAGGATTTGGATGCTTATTAAACTTTGAAAGCAGAAAGGGAGGGGCGAAGTAAGAAACAAAGCTCGCGATTAGAATTGATTCTTTTTTTTTTCTTTACGTTTTTTAAGAAGAAAAATAAAAATATTTTTAAAACGGTATTTAGCGTAATAAAAATAAAAAATAAAAATAAAAATAAAATTTTAATTTAATATAAAATGAAAAAAATAAAAAATAATTAAGTTATTTTTTATTTTTTATTTTCGTTATTTTCTCTCCCAGAGAGATATTAATGAATTTTTTTATATTAAAAATAATCTTTTAATAAAATTATTAAACGTATTTTTAAAAATAATTTTTCTGATTAAAAACGTTTTTATTTTTCATTTTCATACAAAAAATGAAATCATTTTAAAATGAATTCTAATTTTCTTTAATTATTTTTTTTGTCATTTTGCTTGTTCAATTAAGCCTTTTGAGTTTTAGTATATGTGTACTTGATTTCCTGGCTTTTTTTTTCTTTGTACTATGTTTCCTGCTTACTATTAGGGATATTAAACGATAGTTTCTTTATTTAGATTACTGTACAGCTGGAATTAGATTTGTATAGCTAAGAATTTTAAATTCCCTAGATTATAGTTAGTTTCCAATTTCAAAATATTGTTTCCTAATTCTGTTTGTAACCTATTTATACTCTTCTTCTATCAATGGAAAAACTGTGCATTATTTCCTCAATTCTAAAGTCTCATATGGTATCGAGCCGCTGGTCCTCCTTTTGAATTTTTTTTCCGCTCCACCATGGCAGCCAACCAACCTCAGCTTCCCCTACCCACCGAATCCCACATTGTCGCCCTTCCCAATTCCGCCAATCCAACCCAACCTCTTCAACTCATCAATATGGCTAATCACAATATTGTCAAACTTCCCTCCACCAATTATTTGTCATGGAAGCTTCAAATGGAAGCCAATCTCGTCGGCTATGACCTCTACAAATACATCGATGGTTCTCATCCATGTCCTCCATCTACCGCTCGCACCAACAATGTAAACACAACCAACCCGGATTATCTCCCATGGGTTTGGCAAGACAAACTGTTGTTTGGCGCCCTTGTCGAATCCATCTCATCTCCCTTGATTCCGCTCATCCAACATGTTACCACCTCCCGCGAAGCATGGCTCACCCTTGCCAACACTTATGCTTGCCCGTCTCGTGGACACATCAAGCAAATCATGGACCAAATCAAGCGCTCGGTCAAAGGTTCTCAGTCGATCTCAGAATATGTGCAATTTATCAAGTGCCGCTCCGATGAACTTGCCGCACTTGGCAAACCGATAGATCATGAAGATCTTATCGAGAAGATTCTCGATGGTATTGATGACGACTACAAGGCTCTTGTTGACCGTATTGAGGGCCGCGACACACCAATCTCTTTTGATGAGCTTCATGAGAAACTGATCAATCAGAAATTGTCCCTCAAACAGGGTCATTCCACCCCCTCATTCGCACTGGTCACGGCCAACGCTGCATCCAACCGCCACAATGGAGGCTCACGGCCTCCCCCCTCTCGGCCTACCTGGACGCCCAACCCGCCATCCGCTGACTTCTCTCCGCAACATACGGCCGGCCAAGGGTCCTCTTAGCGCCGTCCGCCACTCCCGTACCTCGGCAAGTGTCAGGGTTGTCGTGCTCAGGGCCACACCGTCGCGCAATGTCCTCTATTTCAGTTGATCCCAGCCAACACTGCTTCCTCGTCTGCACTCCGGTCTTCGGTTCCTAATCCTGGCCGCTCTCCCTCCCCTCAGTGGCAACCGAAGGCACACATGGCCACTACGTCTGCTTCAGAAAACTCTACGTGGCTTCTTGACTCTGGCGCCTCTCATCACGTCACTGCTGATTTGAACAATCTGTCGCTTCACGCTCCTTATGACGGCCCAGACGACATTGTTATTGGTGATGGTACTGGGTTACACATTTCTCACACTGGTTCTACTTCCTTACAAACTCCCTCTCATTCCTTTAAATTACATGATGTTTTATGTGTGCCCAATATGAAATGGAATTTGATTTCTGTATCTCAATTTTACAAAACAAATAAAACATCCATTGAATTCTTACCCACTTCCTTTCATGTGAAGGATTTAATGACGGGGGCAACACTGCTATAGGGGCGAACTAGAGATGGTGTGTATGAATGGCCGGTGTCATCCCCTCCTACCAAAGCCAAACTTGCCTTCTCCAGTGTCAAAGCTTCTCCTGCTGATTGGCACCACCGCTTAGGTCATCCGTCCGAGTCTATCCTTAGGCATATTGCGTCTACCTTTTCTTTAGCTTTTTCTTCATCTGTCTCTAAGAATTTTCATTGTAAAGACTGTTATTGCAATAAAAGTCATAAATTACCTTTTTTCCAATCCACTATTGTTTCTCATGCTTCGCTTCAAATCATTTTCTATGATGTGTGGACTTCTCCTATTCATTCTGTTGATAATTTCAAATATTATGTCATCTTTGTGGATCACTACACTCATTACATCTGGTTGTACCCCCTCGCTCATAAATCGGATGTTTCCATTGTCTTTCCACGTTTCAAAGCTTTGGTTGAAAACTACTTTCAAACAAAAATTGTCACCATCTACTCTGACAATGGGGGGGAATACACGGGTCTAAAATCATTCTTGTCCACAACTGGCATCTCTCATCTCACCACTCCTCCACACACACCCGAACATAATGGCTTTTCTGAGTGTCGCCACCGCCACATAGTTGAAACTGGTCTCGCTCTCCTATCCCGGGCTTCCTTACCTCTCTCCTTCTGGTCCTATGCTTTCCTCACCGCCACCTACCTTATCAATCGTTTACCTACTCCCACCTTGGACATGATCTCTCCTTATCATAAGCTTTTTGCTTCTCCTCCAAATTATCTCAAACTGCGAGTCTTTGGTTGTCTTTGCTACCCGTGGCTTCGTCCATACTCTCCTCATAAATTGGCCCCTCGCTCCACTCCTTGTGTTTTTCTTGGCTACTCCCAGACCCAAAGTGCCTATCTGTGCTATGAACCCACCTCTAAGAAGATGTATACTTCCAGGCATGTACGTTTTGTTGAAACTGAATTTCCCATGAATGGTTTACTTCCCCATTTATCTCGTCCAGATGACTCTACTGATTCCACTTGGCTTTCTATTCCTTTTCTTGCTCCGGCTTCTAACACACCATCTCCAGCTCAACCTCGCAGGACGCCTTCGGCAGGTAATCTCTCAATTCCCAGCTCGACCATTTCTTCGTTTCTGCCTTCTTGCCGCGGCAAAAATGCCACCTCGCCACGGCAAGCAACTTTGGATAGCTCAGCTCTCACTTCGCCTCCCTCTAGCCGCGACGAAGAAAATCCATCCCCAAACCAACCACTGCCCAGTCCCATAACCCAACCAGAAAATCCGTGTATGCCCAGTCCCACAACCCAACCAGCCCCCAAACCAACCACTGCCCACCCCTCCCGGACCTCCCCCATTGTTACCCGTTCCCACAACCACATACATAAGCCAATCACCAAACTGAACCTCTCTACTCTTCTTGCCAAAGAGGTAGAACCCACATGTGTGACTCAGGCTATCAAGGATGACAAATGGCGTCAGGCCATGTCTGCGGAGTTCAATGCCCTTATTCGAAATGGCACTTGGGAGTTAGTTCCTCCAGATACGGCTCAGAACATTGTCGGTTGCAAGTGGATTTTTGGTATTAAACGTTTGCCTGATGGTTCTGTTGACAGGTACAAAGCTCGTCTGGTTGCCAAGGGTTTTCATCAGCGCCCCGGTGTTGACTACCATGAGACATTCAGCCCTGTTGTCAAACCCACAACTGTTCGTTTGGTGCTTTCTATTGCGATCAGCCGTGGCCAGTCTCTCCGTCAACTTGACGTCAATAATGCTTTTCTTCAGGGCACTCTAACTGAAGATGTCTACATGACACAACCACAGGGCTTCACTGATACTGACCACCCCCAGCATGTCTGCAAGTTGAGAAAAGCTATCTATGGCCTCAAGCAAGCACCTCGTGCTTGGTATAATGAGCTTCGTCAGTTTCTTCTCCACTCTGGCTTCATCAACTCTACTGCAGACACCTCTCTGTTTATCTTCAACAAAAACAACGTAACTCTTTATCTTCTTGTTTATGTTAATGATATTATTATCACAGGGAGTGATTCCATTGCAGTTCAGGGATTCATTACACTTCTAGCCAATCGGTTTTCGTTAAAGGATCTTGCTCCGTTAACCTACTTTCTTGGCGTAGAAGTTGTCCCGCTCTCACAGGGCATCATTCTATCACAACGGAGATATATTGCTGATCTTCTTGCTCGTACCAAGATGACCGATGCTCGCCCGGTCGCTACACCTCTCGCCACGACGCCCACTCTTGTTCTTCACTCGGGCTGTGCGTTATCGGATCCCACTGAATATCGTACCATTGTGGGAAGTCTTCAATACCTCTCTCTGACTCGCCCGGACATTGCATATGTGGTTAACAAACTTTCTCAGTTCATGCATCGTCCAACCACTTATCATTGGAATGCTGCCAAACGTCTTCTCAGGTATCTTTGTGGAACCATTGATTAGGGTATTCTTCTCCATTGCCGATCTACACTTGATCTTCATGCTTTCTCCGACGCTGACTGGGCCGGTAACAAAGATGACTTCACCTCCACTAGCGCATACATTGTTTATCTTGGTCGCAACCCCATCTCTTGGAGTTTCAAGAAACAACGCACGGTTGCTCGATCATCGACTGAAGCTGAATATCGATCTGTTGCTGCTACAGCTGCAGAATTGCGCTGGATCACTTCTCTTCTTGGTGAGCTTGGTTTATCTTCCTCTCAGAAACCGGTCATCTACTGTGATAATGTGGGAGCCACAAATTTATGTTCTAATCCGGTGTTTCATTCCCGTATGAAACATGTTGCACTCGACTATCATTTCATTCGTGAACAAGTTTAGACTGGACTTCTTCGAGTGACGCATGTCTCTTTTACGGATCATTTGGCGGATGCTCTCACTAAACTTCTACCCCGCACACGCTTTCATAAGCTACTACTCAAGATTGGAGTCTTCTCTCGGAGCTCTAACTTGCGGGGGCATATTAGAGATATTAAACGATAGTTTCTTTATTTAGATTATTGTACAGCTAAAATTAGATTTGTATAGCTAAGAATTTTAAATTCCCTAGATTATAGTTAGTTTCCAATTTCAAAATATTATTTCCTATTTGTAACCTATTCATACTCTTCTTCTATCAATGGAAAAGCTGTACATTATTTCCTCAATTCTAAAGTCTCATACTTACAACAAAGGGAAACCAATGGCTTTCCCGATTTTTACATTGTAAAAAGTGAAGAAGAAAAATAAAATGTAAAATTATTTTGCATACGCTTCTAAAAGTCCCGTTCGGGATTTAATTCTATGGATCTTTTTTATTTCATTGCTTTCCTGTTGATTCCATGGACGGAGCTTCAAGGAAGAAGAGATGGTTGTTTGGACTTTGGAGACTGGAGTTTTGGTTTTTTTTTTTTTTTTCTCTGTTCATTCTTATTTTCGTTTTTTATTTATAAAATGACTTGTGGGACCCACAAAAATGGAAGCCACGTCAAATCGTGTGAGTTGGCCGCTCGGGATACAAAGCATTTCGAATTATTTTATATTATATTATTGAAAACGTGGCCCCTTCTGTGTTACACGTAGACAACTTATTCAACCAGAAAGACAAATTCTAAAAAAAAAAAAAAAAATTATATACTCTCTGTTGCAAAGTTCGTTAAACGACTAATGATTAGCACAGATCAACCTGCACGGAATAACTGAAACCGCCACAGAAACAAAAACGTCATTAATAGTTCTCCAATCCACTTTCAACAGAAAAACATACAAATATATATATATATATATAGAGAGAGAGAGAGAGAGAGAGAGTGCACTCGACTATCATTTCATTCGTGAACAAGTTTAGACTGGACTTCTTCGAGTGACGCATGTCTCTTTTACGGATCATTTGGCGGATGCTCTCACTAAACTTCTACCCCGCACACGCTTTCATAAGCTACTACTCAAGATTGGAGTCTTCTCTCGGAGCTCTAACTTGCGGGGGCATATTAGAGATATTAAACGATAGTTTCTTTATTTAGATTATTGTACAGCTAAAATTAGATTTGTATAGCTAAGAATTTTAAATTCCCTAGATTATAGTTAGTTTCCAATTTCAAAATATTATTTCCTATTTGTAACCTATTCATACTCTTCTTCTATCAATGGAAAAGCTGTACATTATTTCCTCAATTCTAAAGTCTCATACTTACAACAAAGGGAAACCAATGGCTTTCCCGATTTTTACATTGTAAAAAGTGAAGAAGAAAAATAAAATGTAAAATTATTTTGCATACGCTTCTAAAAGTCCCGTTCGGGATTTAATTCTATGGATCTTTTTTATTTCATTGCTTTCCTGTTGATTCCATGGACGGAGCTTCAAGGAAGAAGAGATGGTTGTTTGGACTTTGGAGACTGGAGTTTTGGTTTTTTTTTTTTTTTTCTCTGTTCATTCTTATTTTCGTTTTTTATTTATAAAATGACTTGTGGGACCCACAAAAATGGAAGCCACGTCAAATCGTGTGAGTTGGCCGCTCGGGATACAAAGCATTTCGAATTATTTTATATTATATTATTGAAAACGTGGCCCCTTCTGTGTTACACGTAGACAACTTATTCAACCAGAAAGACACAAATTCTAAAAAAAAAAAAAAATTATATACTCTCTGTTGCAAAGTTCGTTAAACGACTAATGATTAGCACAGATCAACCTGCACGGAATAACTGAAACCGCCACAGAAACAAAAACGTCATTAATAGTTCTCCAATCCACTTTCAACAGAAAAACATACAAATATATATATATATATAGAGAGAGAGAGAGAGAGAGAGAGAGCCAAGTAAAAGCCTTTTTCGTTTTTCCATTCCTTTTTGTCACTTTAAACCTCTGAAAGAAAAAGAAATGAAAGAGAGAAAAGAACTCAAGAAAGAAGGATGAGTATAACGGAGTTGCCACCGGGAATGGCTGCGGGGTTCAGATTCTATCCCACCGATGAGGAGCTCATCGCCGATTACTTAAGGCCCAAGATTCTCGGAACACATCCCGAGGTCGAAGACGTCATCGCCGAGGTCGATTTCTACAAATTCGAGCCATGGGATTTACCTCGCTTTTGTTCTCTCTTTTCTTTCATTGAGCGTCATTGTATTCATTTCTTGTATTGAGATTTCTTTTTTGTTCGCTTTTTTCTCCAGCGAAATCGAGGATAAAGTCGAAAGATCGGACGTGGTTGTTCTTCTGTAAACGGGATTGCAAGAAACCAAGAAGTAAACGGTTGAAAAGGTCGACCAAAACTGGGTTCTGGAAGATAACAGGGAAGGAAATGGTGATAAAAGATCAAGAAACCAAGAAATGCATTGGAAAGAGGAAGACTTTGGTGTTCCACAAAGGTCCCACTCCTGGCCAAACGACCAACTAGGTCGTGCATGAATACTATATTGAACCTCATTTTCTCCTCACTAACCAGGTATTTTACCTGTTTGCTATTATATATACATATACACACACACACACACACATATAAATGTATGTATGTACGAATATATTAAGTTCCTTAGATGGATTTTGCAGTTACAAGTTCATTTTAATATGTTATTATTTTCAAGAGCGTGTACTAGTGCGGTCTATGATAATGGTTATGTTTTCTCTAGATAGTAGATTGGACTCATTCTTTGCGATCAATTTCTGTAGAATGACTTTGGAGTTATATAAATGTGTGGTTCGTAGTTATAATTATAATTTTTCACTGAATCTAACGCAAATTTAGTGATGCACATTTTTCTTTATCTTGTTTCCCTGATAAGTGACTGATTTGATTTAGGAAACATTTTAATTATTCCAATTGTATAAGGGGCTATAGTCTGAGTTTTGTATTTAACTGGCAGTTAGTTACCTTTTGGTCTAAACATTATGCAGAGGCCGTCCTATGTTCTTTGCCGCTTGAAGGAAAAGGCGAAGGACAAGGCTAACACTCCATACTGTGGAGAAGGCAAATCAATCGGCGATATCATGTCTGAAATTGAAAATCCTGTAACACCTGCTGCAATTCCATGGGTGAGGAGAATCGTGTTTTCCATTTTAATTGTGTCAAGTTATTTGCAGTGTAACCGAATTCTAAACCGAAACATCTGCTTCTTTTGTGTTTTCATAATTCCTTCCAGGCACATGGCCGTCAAGAAGAGAATCAGAAATGATTTTCACAGCCAAACTCACCGGCATGCAATTTGACAGACGAGGAAATCAGTTTACCACGATCGGTTGGCCGCTTTTTATACGAGCTGCAATCTTCATATGGTGAACCAGAAGCGCGTCGCAAAGAGATTGTGAATAGCCGCGGAGATACAAACACTGAAGGCATCAAAGAACAGGTAAAGAGATCCTCCCATTTATTAGCTCTTGTAGAATGACTCCAATAGCTAATGAACCGCTATAGGAGAATATCAGAAGAAGATTTGTAATAAAGTGCCTTACTCACACTATTACGAGGATTGTTATGATATTCTCTGTAGAATTCCTTTTAACATAAACCTTCCTAGATCAACCTCCATTATAGTTGAAAAATTTACAATTTCCTAGCCTGCATGAGCACCGGAAATCCTACCTCGCTAAGAATGCCATTCGTGTTTAAATCTATATCTTGTATAGAATCAGCATTCCCAAAAAAAAAAAAAAAAAAAAAAAAAAAAAAAAAAAAAAAAAAAAATCCTTTTTGTTACCAACAAGTTGTCTAGCCTATTACCGCCATGAAGAATTCCATTCAATTAGGTCTATAGAAGTAGAAAGTCGATCATTGCTTAGAGACCAAGGCTCCACCACATGGACATTTTCCTGCAAAGAAACCTCATGGCTGAATCAGTTTCTAACCAAATGTAAATAAAGAACAATTTTGTGAAGCCTGCAATTGCCTTAGAAAAACTTTGATAGAAAAAGATCCATGGAATGTTCTCCAGGGAATTAGGTATTCCCTTGGAGGAACAGGGTGCCTTCGGGTTTTCTTTCCTCTACAGACTGAAGGCAAAGAAAAGCTCAGGTCGTGTTAAGCACTTGTTGGACTAAGGAAAGCTTTCTCATAGACTGACATATGAATTAACCTTCTGATCAAGAGAATCAGGAAAAACACCCGTGTGTTTGTGTATGCGTTATATCACTTTATTTCTATAAATTGTTTTTTTTTTTTTGGTCCTATTTGAAAGGAAAAACATCAGTAAAGCTTCCCTTTTTGCTTTTTTTTTTTTTTTTTTTTTTTTTTTTTTTTTCACAGCATGTTCTGCAGTCAAGCTTTTTTGATTCTTCTGTCGGTTCAAAGGAAACCCGACGTTTTCAAATGGCTGAAAGAGCTTCCCAAGAACTGCAAGGTAACTTCCTTGGGAACGTCGTCAGAGAAGAATTCAACTGCGGGAAAATCCACAGCAATATCTGGAAACTATGTAAGAAAATCAACCTAAGGCATTAAAAAAATTCAAAGAGAAGCATTTCATGACAATGGACTCTTTTGTAAAATCTGAGTGTGTGCATGGAACAGGATTTTGTTTCATCAGCCTCAACCGTGTTTCTTCAGGGAACAAAGAGGCTTGTCAAATGCCCAAGCTTCATGTGGGATACTTATGCTCCGTTTGTTTCGAGAGTTTTAGCCTCATTTAGAATCATGAAACTTAATTCGTTACAGAATTTTTCACTTACACAAAATTTAAATTTTAAAAATCAGAATCATAAATTATAATTATGAACCCATAAATCAAACGTCACCTTAGTTGGTTTGTTCCAAATAGATTTTCATATTGAGTTTCCTTATTGCTATTATCGTTTCTTCATTGGGTTTTGTAACTTTGTCCAAATGCATTAGTCATGAAATTCTCTTTTCTTTTTTCAGCCTCCAATATAGGCATTGTATAATAGTGAAACTGAAATATTCATATAATGCCACATCTTTTTGAAGGAAAAAATAAAATAAAAATAAAAAAGCAAGCGATATACACACGCATAGCAAAGCCCATCTTAGGATGCTCCTATTTTGCTTGGTTTGGATTCTAAGACCCAGAAGAGGAGGAAAAACAATGCTATAAGTGTAAAGTCCCTGTATTGTACTATCAGGAATTGATTTTAGTTTCATCCTTAGCCATTGATTCCCTTTGTTGTTGTCAGCGGCGGAACTAAATTTTTCTTTTTCAACAAGAAGAATTAAACCAAAATTTTTTAACTAAAATATAATACCTGATAAAATTGAGGGAAACGTGTAATAATTACACAAAATGGCAAAAATTTGGTACCTTTAAGTTCAAATTTAACAAAATGATTAGAATATTATAAATATAGCAAAAGTGACATAGTCATTATTATAATGATATCGCATTTTATCTATATGATAATATAGTTATTATTTTAATGATATCAAAATTTTGTTATTCTTGTAATATTTTAAAAACTTTACAATATTTAAATCTACTACATAAATTTTGTTATATTTGTAAATAGCTTGAGAATAATTACCGATGTGAGATTCGAATATTTTACTCTTAATACAAAGTTTAGAGTCAAAAAAATTGCAAAGCAATAGTATAGTTGATTTTTGGTTTATATGAGATTTTTAGTTTTAAATTTGAATTACAAAGTACACCTAAAAAATCAAAACTCACGAAATAGTTTTTTTTCCTTCTTTAATATTATGTAAATATAACAATTAATAACCCTCAAAAGAAGAAATAAGTGGAAAAACCTTGAGTTCTAAACTCTTTGCTTTAAGCATTTTGTCTAAGAGCACCCTTATTCAGATGTGTGAGTCTTATTAGATGAATAAATAAGACCTAATTTAATGAAACTCACCCTTTTGTGAGTATGGGGTTTTACCTTTATTGATATAAATATCATTTTTCTTTGTCCAATACTATAGTCAAAAATACTTTCTTCGCCTCCTCCTTATCCTCTACTAAAATATACGTAGTAGTCAATCGTATATAATGCAATTTATATACTAGAGGAAGCTCAACATATTGATTAGAAGAAGCAATTAAAATAAAATAAATCTACGTGCTAAAAGTAATGCCTTAACTTTTGAATTTTCCACGCAACTAAAGTAAAAAAGAATAAAAAAACTATTGTTATGATCAAGTTGGTACTTGGCACAGATTAGTGGGGAGCATAACAGACGAATAAAGGAGAAGAAAGGGAAAAGAATAAAATAAATATTATGACATTCAGTTATATGGGATTGGATCGGCTAATTTCAAACCGTGCCATCTTTTCCCGACAAAAAAAAAAAAGAATCAAAATTATAAGCAATGGAATTCTCTAGAATTCAACTCAGAAGTCCAATTTTCATCATGAGAGATACAAAAGAAATGTGGTCCTCACCCGCAGTCACTCTTTTGTTTATTGTTTTTTTTTTTTTTTTTTTTTTTCTCTTTTTGTGGTCATCCACAGTCATTTATATGTTTTTCCCCCTTGATTTGTATATGCACTTCTCTCTTTTTGTGGTCATCCACAGTCATTTATATGTTTTTCCCCCTTGATTTGTATATGCACAAAATAGACACGTTTTGGAATTTCGTTTCTTCAATATGGTCAAGTAGATATTTGAGAAGATGAATTCTTATTAAGTTCACATATAGTAGAATGGCATGAAGTCGAAGAATATTAAAAAGAAAGAGGGCTCGTGTAATTTATGATCGGGGGTGTATTTTCTCTCTACTGATAAGGGACAAATTGTGATCATTCGATCAAAACTTAAAGGTTAAAATTGAGATGTGCACTAGAACTTTTTGTAGACTGACATCACACCTAATTTCACTAAAGAGACTTAAAAAAAATATCCTTCCACATCTTTCTTTCTAGCTAAGCTCGTCGCATCGACGTTCTCCGTTGACTCTTCCACGACCATTATTCTCACTGGCCACCGATCTCCAAAACCTCGCCACCCCTGTGACGAAGCTCAGCTCCAATCGCTGCCACTCGCCAGCTAAACATCGCGACCAAACTTCCTTTTCACGTCTCGATCTTCAGCTTCTCCACCGGCATCATCGTTCCAGAGCAACTCAGAATCGTTCGCGTAGCTAAACCCCCAGACTCCTACTGATCAACGCCGCTGTTTCAGCCGACAATCGTTGCCGAAACTTCTCTGCGATTTCACAGGAGTGGCATAATTGTCGGTGGTGGGTTAGTGTCCGCATCAATGGCGGTATACTTTGCGTTGCCGTCATTGAACTCACCAGCGTTTTGACATAAGGTTGTCGGAGATGGTGTTTGGGTTTAAAGTTTTGTTTTTTTTCTTTTTTTTTTCTTAGTTAACCAGGTGTGATTTGTTCATAATATTTTGATGTGTGTTTTTAATCTACGCCACTGAAAATCATTCTAACGGCTAATAATCTTTACCCTACCAATAGGAAGAAAGTACACCTCCTGTTAGAGAGATTGTAATATATCTCTCAATATTGATATCACAAAATTAAATTAAAACACATTCGGGAAGAGTAGGCTGACGCAAGCACGCGCTGCAGCGCGAAAGAGTGCGCGCTGCAGCGCATGGACGCGCTGCAGCACGTTTGGGCGCTACAGCCTGCGCAAAACAGACCTCTCGGGTCTGTTTTGCTAGGCACGCGCGCTGCAGCGCGCGTTTGGGCGCTGCAGCCTGCGCAAAACAGACCCTCGGGTCTGTTTTGCTAGGCATGCGCGATGCAGCGCACAGAAGCGTGCGCTGCAACGCACGGGCGCGCTGCAGCGCGCGTTTGAGCGCTGCAGCGCAAATCTTCGACGGAAAATGTGTTCGTGTGTTTTGGTGATATGAAAAGATCTCGAACCATTACATCTATTTGTGATATGTTTTCTCACATATCTGAGCACTTATTAACAATAGAAATAACTATTGTTATAAGTGCATCAGCATATAAAAGATAACCATCAAATTGAAAAGGTATCTTTATGTGAAAGGTTGTAACTCTTAAAGAGGATGGATGCGTCCCTGTCTTTATACGATGGACTTCAGAAAATACAGATGACATACATTGTTCTGGAACTCAATATTTTTGCTGGATATTGTGTTCAAGGGTTTGTTGTATCTTGAGGGTAATTTGCCATTTAGAACTCGTTAGCAAACTTTGAGAAGTGAGGGCAAATAAAACCTTAAAGGAAAGTATTCCTATACACCTCAAACCCTTCTTTCTGAATTCTCTATTCTTTTCATCCTCCCAAATCTGAATTTTCACCAACACCTCCTACCATAAATTTTTCCTTTTTCGCATATATAGATCTTGTGAGATTTTGAAATAGATTAGTGACTTATAAAACAACATGTTATAAGATAAATTAGGATTAGGTTTTTTTTTTTTTAACTTCGTGTGAGATACTTAGGGGCTGTTCTTTTGCCCTTTTTGAATTAGGTGACTTGAGTGTAAATTTTGAATTGAGTTTAAGTTATAATTTGAGTTGAAGTTGTAATTTAAGTTTGTGTTTAGTTGTGTACATTTGAGTTATAGTTTGAAATAAGAATCTTTTTGAGTTTGTGTTTGAGTGAGTCAAAACTTGAATTTGTATTTAGATAGTATTTTAATAAAAACTCAATGCTGATGGAAAATTTGAACTCAAGTTACAACTTTATTCAAGTTCATGTTCTTTTATAAAATTTGAGTTTGAACGCGAATTTAAACTCGAGTTTGGGGCTAAACTCGAGTTCAAGTTTCCCCTTCAACTCGAGTTCATAAATTCGAACTCAAGTTAATGAACAATATTTTTTCTATTCTTAAAAATGCCATAACTTTTTCGTTTTAATTCTAATTGAGATGATTTTTTTTCTATGCATTCACAACGAAAAGATGAATAAAACCCCACCCATATACCCTATTAAATTTTTTTATCACCATTGAGTTTTTATTAAAATACTATATAAATACAAATTTAAGTTTTGACCCACACAAACACAAACTCAAAAAAATTCTCAATTTAAATCATAACTCAAATGTGCACATCCAAACACAAACTCAAATTACAACTTCAACTCAAATTATAACTAAAACTCAACTCAAGATCATCACTCAAGTCACCCTAACTTAAAAATACAAAAGAACAACCCCTAAATTACCTTAAGTTCAAATTTAATAAAATTATTAGAATATTATAAATATAACAAAAATGACGTAGTCATTATTATAATGATGTCACATTTTATCTATATAATGATAGTCATTATTTTAATGATATCAAAATTTTGTTATTCTTGTAATATTTTAAAAGTTTTGCTATATTTAAACTCTACTATTGAAATTTTGTTGTATTTGTAAATAATCCGAGAATAATTGTAGTTTAGGTATTGAGTTTCTATTTTAAAAAAGTTAACCTGTTTAAGTGGAGTGACCCAATATACTCATATATTTGTAGTTATGTTTGTGTCTAGACGATGTCAGACTCAAGTATTTTACCCTTAATATAAAGTTTAGAGTCAAAAAAATTACAAAGTAATAGTATAGTTGATTTTTGGTTTATATAAGATTTTTAGTTTTAAACATGAATTACAAAGTACACTTAAAAAATCAAAACTTACGTTATAGTTTTTTTTTTCTTAAATATTATGTAAATATAACTATTAATAAGCCTCAAAAGAACAAATAAGAGGAAAAACCTTGAGCTTTAAACTATTTACTTTAAACATTTTGTCTAAAAACACCCGTATTCATCCCGATAGGTGATTCTTATTAGGTGAATAAACGAGACTTAATAAAACTCTTCAATTGAAATAAATATCATTTTTCTTTGTCCAATACTATAGTCAAAAATACTTTCTTCGCCTCCTCCTTATCCTCTACTAAAATATACGTAGTAGTCAATCGTATATAATGCAATTTATATACTAGAGGAAGCTCAACATATTGATTAGAAGAAGCAATTAAAATAAAATAAATCTACGTGCTAAAAGTGATGCCTTAACTTTTGAATTTTCCACGCAACTAAAGTAAAAAAGAAAAAAAGAAATGATTGTTATGATCAAGCTGGTACTTGGCACAGATTAGTGGGGAGCATAACAGACGAATAAAGGAGAAGAAAAGGAAAAGAATAAAATAATATTATGACATTCAGGTCTCGTTTATTTCGTCGATTCGACTTTAAAATTCGAGTTTTACTACAGTAAAAAGCTCTCAGAAACAATCACATCTAATTTTTTTGCTATAGTAAAAAACTCTCACACAAAATTATATATCAACTCAAATTATAAACTCGAATCAATGAAGTGAACCGGCCCTAGGCCCTAAGTTATATGGGATTGGATCGGCTAATTGCAAACCGTGCATTCTTTTCTCGTCAAAAAAAAAAAAATCAAAATCAAAATTATAAGCAATGGAATTCTCTAGAATTCAACTCAAAAGTCCAATTTTCATCATGAGAGATACAAAAGAAATGTGGCCCTCCTCACCCGCAGTCACTCTTGTTTTGTTTTGTTTTTTGTTTTTTTTTTTTTTCTCCTCTTTTTGTGGTCATCCACAGTCATTGATATGTTTTTCACCCTTATTTGTATATGCACAAAAAAAGGGAAGTGTCAACACTGATAGTTATTACTGTTATAAGTGTTGAATTATACGAGCAAAAAATATGACATTCTATACGGATTGAATTTGAAAATGAAAATTTTATAAAGATAATGGAAGTGTCAATTAAACTTTGGTCGCCAAGTTCAGAGGATTGTTTGGAATTCTAGAAAGTTCCAAACAGTGCTTTCTTTTTGCAGAAAAAAATAAACTCCGGAATTCTCTAGAATTTAAGTCGAAGTCTCATATTTCCATCATCAAAGGGACAAAAAGATGGGACCCCTTATCCAAGTTGGTTATCTTTCCTTTTCTTTTTCTCTCTTTCTGTTTATTTGCTTATCATATATGCACAAAACAATTTTGAAACAACTAAAACCTAAATCCTAAAAGCCCATTTTTTTCCCCTCCCTTTTTAACGTCATAATGTGACGGGAAAAAGGACGTACTTTATTTATTCTAAATAACTAACTTACAAACGCAGAAGGACGTAACAGTTTACGCGGTTTTCTTTTTTTTTTTTTTGCTATTCACGCGGGTATTTATTCCACTAGTCCCAATATAGTTTGAACATGTGGGCTCCACTCATCCTATGTGGCGCTCTGATTACTGTAGCCACGTGACCACTTCTGTGTGGCCCGTAGACAGCTTCTGGCAGAAGGAGAAAAAAGGAGTTAGCACTTTTATCCCCCTCGATTTTTGAACTTTCACAAATTGCTTCTAAACTTTTTAATTTTTGTATTTAAGTCCCCAACATGCTAAATAGTTGCGATATACTGCATTTTAGCCCTTTTTTGGATAGTGTTTGGAGATTGATTTGGACAATTAATAGGGGTGTTTGGTATGAAGATTCGTGCTATAGTTTGAATCATATTTTGTGACTCACTACATTATTTTTTCACAAAAAATACGTAAATTGAAAATTATTCTGAATCATAATTCTTAATCCGTAAACTAAACGTCAAATAAGTGACAACGGCCATTAGCAAAATAAGACACATTGTAATAGTTTTATAACTTGAAGAGATAAAAATGTTAAAATTAACGTTTAGTGATATTGGCATTATTAAACACCACAGGTAATAAAAAAACAAGTCCCATCCATAAAATCTAGAACAATATTAGGGATATCTCGATAGTGTTGGGCACGTTACACTAAAAAAAGTGGGTACACAAGATTTATTTTTTATTAGTCGGGATGCTTAATACTGGTGGGAATCCAAACGTTTTTTTTTTTCTTTCTAAAACCTATGATATGGGCACATTAGAACATTCCTAACACAATGTTAAACCATTCTGTCAATACTGAATTTTAATATTTGAGAGAAATCACTCTCTAATGCCCTACTATTCTTTATGTTAAATTTTGCATAATGTAGTATTAGTGGTAAATTACAACCAAATATAAGATACATTAAATTTTAACATTTGATTACGAATAGTCCTATGATCACCCTATTAATATTTACAATATTATTATTTTAAAATATTTTAAAATTAAAAATTTATTTTTACAATTTTAAAACTTAATCAATATTAACATTAACTAGTTTTAGTATGTTATTTTCATAATTTTGTAGTGCTAAATATATTATTAAGGGTTGTTTTGTTTGCTGATTCGAGTTTAGATGTAACTTTATGTGAAAATTTTTTATTGTAATAAAAAAATTAGATCTGATTATTTTTAAGAGCTTTTTACTGTAATAAAATTTAAATTTTAAACTCAAATCGGTGAAATTAACGGGATTAGTGTTATTATTTATGTAGGAAATAGTCTTGATATATGGTATTGGTATAATAATGTCGCAAGAATTTACGTATAAATAATTACTGAAAATTTGCATTTCCCGTCATGAGATCATTTTAGGTGGATTTATTAATTTTTTTCGTACGGATCCAATATGCTATACGGAGGAGACGACCTTTGATCAGCGCAAGTCAAGCATGTGGACTGTACATCTGATCAAATAATAAAATTCCGAGGAATCCCAAATAGTTCTTCACTGCATCCACTTCACTCTGCGATAGTTTCTCTCTCTTCTTGTGCTGACCAAAAAACATTGAGAGAGAGAGAGAGAAAAAGAGACACCAAACACCCCAAAGTATTACTTTAATTTACGCTGTTTCTGCTTCGATTTCTCCTTCTCTTGCTCCGTCACCATGACTCTTTAACATCCATTAAACCCGTTTTGTGTTTCCATTTCCCTTTCTTCACCTCAAATCATCAAACCCAAAAGTCCAAAAAAAAAAAAAAAGAAGACCGAAATTGGTAGGAAAAAAAAAAAGTATGACTATATCACTGCCAGAAGATTTGCCTGTCGGTGTTGGATTTCGACCCACAGATGAAGAGATCATGAATCACTACTTGAAGCTTAAGATGATTGGAAAAGACTCCAAGGTCGATAATGGCATCGCCGAGGTCAATGATGTCTGCACGTTCGACCCTTGGGAATTGCCTCGTACGTATTGCTTAATCTTTCCCCTGTTTTATTTTTATATTTATTTTTGGGTTTTGTGTTATATACATTTTTTTTTCTTTCTTCTCTGGGTTTGTTTGAATTCAGCAAAATCGAAGATCAAGTCCAAAGATCAGATATGGTGGTTCTTCACTCGCCGAGACCCGGAAAGAAAAACAACCAAAAGGAAGACGAAAACAGGATCCTGGGGGCTCACAGGCGAAGAAGGACAAATCAAGGGTCGAGACGGCAGAGTTCTTGGAACGAAGAAGTACGTGGTGTTCTTCAATGGTCCCAATCGTGGCCGTCGGAGCAACTGGGTCATTCGCGAGTACCATCCCCTTCCCGAGAATGTCCTTCCTAAACAGGTTTGTAGTGTTTCCTTGACAGTTATTGCTATGTGCTTATATTAGTAGCTTTCAGTTTTTTGATGTATGAATTGATACTTTTAAAAAAAAAATTTATATTATGCATACATATGTTGTTTTTGGGGTTCCCATTTTTGTTTTGTTTTTTTTGTTTTTTTTGTTTTTTTTTGTTTTTAAGACATGCAGTCCATGAACTGCCATGTTATTTATAAGTAAATGCACAATAATCATATTTGTTATTCGGCCTTGGAAGGACATGCACACTGTCTTATATGATGTAAGGTATGTTTTTGACCCCTTTTTTTTGTCCTTTTTCTTTTTTTTTTTTGTTTTTTGTTTCCCTTTTCTATGCACACTATCTTAGAAAATGCACATAGCTATTGGTATCAATTGTAAGATTGACATTGTAACATTCTCATGCACATGAAATTATACCTTGTGTTTGTTCAAATTGTGTAGAGGCACTATGTAATCTGCCGCTTGGAGTACAAAACTGATGAGAAGGCTGGTCTGACAAGCCGTAACGAGGGTGAACCAAGCTGCAACATCACATCTGAGGTCGAAATAGCACCTTCTGCAATTTCAGAAGTAAGAATCAGTTTATGATCTTTTCTACATTTTCAGTATCATGTTATTCCTGTAAATCATGAGAAATTTATGCAAGTTATATAAACATCGACTTGATTATGTACGCAATTCCAGGTACATGGTCATGCAGAAGGGAATGCTGAGTCGCCCTCGCAACTAGTTTTCTCACCAGATGACTTCCTCACTGAGGTGGAAATGAGTTCAATCTTCGAAGATTGCCTCAATGATGATCAAAAGGCCCAGTTCGTACATGAGAACCATCCCAACCCAGAAAATTCCCTGCCTCATCAGGTTTATAGTTACTTCTTAACTGGTATTGCGATTGCTGATTTAAGTTTGGTTGGTTTTTAGTCTATTGCCTTGTTTTTACGCTTTTTATGCACATTTTCTATTATGCATATGTTGTTGTTGTTATTGTTTGTTTGTTTTTTTTTATCGCACCATCACATCGCTTATAATTAGTGTCCTACATTGATTTTGCGGTTCCATGTTCATTTTAGTAGCTTAAGATTATTGTATGTAAGAGCAGTTGTTAGTTCAAACACATTTTATTTATTTATTTCCCTAGATATGCAGCCCACTGTATCACGCTTTTGTAATCAATAGCTATAGAATGACTTAAGGCCTTGTTGAGCAAGAGGGAGAGAAACATGGAGAGAAAAATCGTCAATACTAAATTCATTCTCTCCTCTAATACCTCTACCAAACAACGAGAAGCTTTAAACTCCTTCCATGCTTATCTGTCCTTCCACTCGTCTCCTAAACAAAGCCTTAAATTAAAGTAGGAGATCCATAAAATGCACAGTTATTCATAATTTTAGTGGTGGTCGTTAATTCCAAATTTGCAATATAATTTATACAATTCCAACCGTTCTTCTCTTTCCAAGATCACAAAGTACAGCCATAAGAAATCTGATTTCTTTTTCGCCCCTAAAAGAAAATGGACAGTCTTTTTATTTCTGTGATGAGGACAGAAAAATAAAATGATATAAGGTGCTTTTTCCCCTCCTCTTGTACCAGCTTACTGACACAGTTAGATATTGCTCAGATGTAAGATTGATATTGCAACATTCTATCCATGAAATTATACCTTCTATCTGTTCAAATTATGCAGATGCCCGATCTTACTTGCTGCTTGGAGAGCAAAACTGATGAGAACTCTGGTACCCTTGGCTGCAACATAGGCGAACCAAGCATCGAAATCAGAGCTGAAATTGAAAATCCAGTAGCACATGCTGCAATTTCAGAGGTAAGAATGAGCATATCATCTTTTCTACATTTTCAGTATCAAGTTCTTTTTGTAAATCATGAGAAGTTTACGCAAATTATACAAACATCTAGTTGATTATGTTACACAATTCTAGGTACCTGGTCATGGAGAAGGTAATGCAAAAGTGCTCTCACAACCAGTTCTCTCACCAGATGACTACCTCACAGCGGAGGATATAAGGTCGATCTTCTCGGACGGCTTCAATGGTGGTCAAAAGATCAACTCGGTCATGCTTGAGCACCATCCAGAACTAGATAACAACCTTCCTCAGCAGGTTTATACTTCTTAATTAGCACTCCTATTGCTGATTATAGTAGGTTGGACTTCGTTTTAGTCCATTTCCTCCCCTTTACACTTTTTATGATACTTCATTTCAATTTTGTATTGGTACATTTTCTGTTACGCATGTGTTTCTTTTTCTTTTTCTTTTTTTGTTTCAATCGTACCATCACATCGCTTATAACTGGTGCCGTGCCATACATGGATTTTGCGGTTCTCTGTTCATTTTAGTATCAGATTATTGTCAGAGCAATTGTTAGTGCAAACATGAGTTTTTTCTTTTTTATTATTTGTTTATTTCCCTAGATATGTATCCCACCATAACAATATTTGGCAATCTATAACTATGGAAGACTTAAGGCCTTGTTAAGTACTAGCTAAGAGGGACGGATACATAATTAGGCTATGAAAATGGAGAGGGGTAAGAGCTTTTTCATAGGGGAGCATTTGGTATACGGTGATTTAAGGATGGGAACGGAAATCTTTTCAGACTCCCATGTTTGATATAATTTGACATTTATTTAAACTTGGGAAAATGAAACCCATGGAATCCACTTTTCCTTGTTTTGAGGTAATTTGAAAATCATCCAAAAGGGTGGGTTTTATACTAATGGGAATCTGAGACCATTCATGAACCTTGCTTATTGTGTTTGATGTGAACTCCCTCCTCCAATTCTCCCGACTTTGGAGGGATCAAAGTTGTGGTCCTCTGGACGAATTTGAGTCCCTCACCAAATTCATTTCCTTCCTAATCCCGCTACCAAACGGCCAGAAAGTTCTAAAGTCTTTCCACCCTTGTGCCTCCTTCCGCTCTTTTCTCCTAAACAAGGCCTTAAATTAAAGTAGGACATCCATAAACTTCAAAGATATTCATATTTTAGTGGTAGTCGCTAATTACAAATTTGCTCTATAATTTATACAATTCCAATCTTTCTTCTCTTTCCAAGATCACAAAGTACACCCATAAGAAATCTGATTTCTTTTTCGCCTTTAAAAGAAAATGGACAGTCTTTTTATTTCTGTGCTGAGGACAGAAAAATAAAATGATATAAGGTGTTTTCTCCCCTCCTCTTTTACCAGCTTACTGACACAATTAGATATTGCTCAGATGTAAGATTGATATTGCAACATTCTATCCATTAAATTATACCTTCTATCTGTTCAAATTATGCAGATGCCCGATCTTACTTGCTGCTTGGAGAGCAAAACTGATGAGAACTCTGGTACCCTAGGCTGCAACATAGGCGAACCAAGCATCGAAATCAGAGCTGAAATTGAAAATCCAGTAGCACATGCTGCAATTTCAGAGGTAAGAAATAGCATATCATCTTTTCTACATTTTCAGTATCAAGTTCTTCCTGTAAATCATGAGAAGTTTACGCAAATTATACAAACATCTAGTTGATTATGTTACGCAATTCTAGGTACCTGGTCATGGAGAAGGTAATGCAAAAGTGCTCTCACCAGATGACTACCTCACAGCAGAGGATATAAGGTCGATCTTCTCAGATGGCTTCAATGGTGGTCAAAAGATCAACTCGGTCATGCATGAGCACCATCCAGAACTAGATAGCAACCTTCCTCAGCAGGTTTATACTTCTTAACTAGCACTCCTATTGCTGATTATAGTAGGTTGGACTTGGTTTTAGTCCATTTCCTCGCTTTTACACTTTTTATGATACTTCATTTCAATTTTGTATTGGTACATTTTCTGTTACGCATGTGTTTCTTTGTTTTTTTTTTTTCAATCGTACCATCACATCGCTTATAACTGGTGCCGTGCCATACATGGATTTTGCGGTTCTATTTCCCTAGATATGTATCCCACCATAACAATATTTGGCAATCTATAACTATGGAAGACTTAAGGCATTGTTAAGTATTAGATAAGAGGGATGGATACATAATTTAGGCTATGAAAATGGAGAGGGGGAAGAGCTTTTTCGTAACGGAGCGTTTGGTATACGGTGATTTAAGGATGGGAGCTGAAATCTTTTCAGACTCCCATGTTTGATATGTTAGGATCCGTTAATGACTTGAGAACTTGTTTAGTTAGTGGGCTAGTAGAGTTAGTAGGAATTAGTATAAATAAAGGGCTTTGTAGCTCACTAGGGGGAGGCCGTGATTTTGAGAGTTTTGAGAGACTGAGATTAGGGAGAGTTGGTGGTCTCTCGAATACCATCGAAGTTAGGAGTTCTCTGGAGTCCTCGAATACTCCAGTCTATCATGAGATTTCTTTACGTTTTTCTTATTTGTTTCGAGGGTTCTGGCCTGGTTTAGGATCATGTTTATTGGTTCGCTACAGTGTTTTTCTCTCACAAAAAATTTAAATTTTAAAAATAAGAATTATGAACAATGGTTCTGAACCCATGAGTCAAACGCCGCCTTAGTTTGATTGTAAAATTCTATGAACCAGTGTTGGTGATGATCAATAAAACCACTCTGATCTTGAGAAAATGAAACCCATGGAATCCACTTTTCCTTGTTTTGAGGTAATTTGAAAATCATCCGAAAGGGTGGGTTTTATACTAATGGGAATCTGAGACCATTCATGAACCTTGCTTATTGTGTTTGATGTGAATTCCCTTCTCCAATTCTCCCGACTTTGGAAGGATCAAAGTTGTGGTCCTATGGACGAATTTGAGTCCCTCACCAAATTCATTTCCTCACTAATCCCGCTACCAAACGGCCAGAAAGTTCTAAAGTCCTTCCACCCTTGTGCCTCCTTCTGCTCTTTTCTCCTAAACAAGGCCTTAAATTAAAGTAAGACATCCATAAACATCAAAGATATTCATATTTTAGTGGTAGTCGCTAATTACAAATTTGCTCTATAATTTATACAATTCCAATCTTTCTTCTATTTCCAAGATCACAAAGTACACGCACAAGAACCTTGATTCATTTTTCAGCCTTAAAAGAAATGGACACTGTCTTTTATTTCTGTGATGAGGACAGAAAACACACAATTAGATATTGCTTGGATGTAAGATTGATATAGCAACATTCTGTACATGAAATTACATTTTCTATTTGTTCAAATTATGCAGTGGCCCTATCTTACATGCTGCTTGGAGAACAAAACGGATGAGTCTGTTGGTTCTCTGGACTGCAACATAGGCAGACCAAGCAGCAACATCACATCTGATATCGAAAATCAAGTAGCACCTACTGCAATTCCGGTGGTACGAATGAGCATCATCTTTTCTATATTTTCACGATCAATTTATCCCTACAAATCATGACAAGTTTATGCAAACCTAAATATGCACTTGTTTATGTTTCTTAATTCCAGGTACATGGTGACACAGAAGTCAATGCAGAGTTGCTATGGCAAACATTTCTCACACCAGATCACCACGCCACTGAGAAGGATATAAGTTTGATCCTCTCAAACAGCCTCAGTGATGACCACCATAACGAGTGGCATGCTTTATGTGGAGCTGCTGAGCCAGAAATGCCTCCAGCAGAGTTTTTGGATCGGCGTAAAGCTGATTCATATGAAAACTACTATGGGGAAAGTGAAACAACAAACGATCTTTTCAATAACTTCATCCAGCCAAAGTCATTGAAAAGGCCGTATTTTCCTGACATTCCAGCTAATAATGATATGAATGCTGGAGGAGTCGATGGACGGGTTAAAAGACCCCGTTCATTAGCTCTTGGAGAATGTCTCCAATAGCTAATGAACCAGTACAGGAGAATATCGTAGGATTTTTGTAATAATGTGCCTCGTACTTGCATTATTGCATGTGCCGCGATATTCTCCTGTTGTCATTTTTTTTTTTTTCTTAGACCTTCCTCTATCAACCTTCATAGAAGTCAGAAACTTTGCTATTTCCTAGCCAGCCAGAACATACCAATTCCTACCCCTCAAAGAAAAACCATCCTTGTCCACAATAACCAACGATCAAGCGAACCATTAGTGTTTGAATCTATACCTTGTATAGCCAGCACTACCAAAATCAACCTTATACCGAGAAAACCTTTGAGATTCTGTCCAAAATGTTTTCTAGCCTGCCATCAGAACAAATTCCATCCAATTAGGCCTATGGGCTATCCAAAGTAGTAACACTTATGTTGCTTATGGACGGACCGAGGCACCACAACACGTCCCTTCTTAAGCAAAGAAACTGCAAAACCGAATCTTTTTCCAACCAAATATGATTGCCAACCTCTTGATCTAGCAACATGGGCCGTGGAAATCACCCGTTAAAGCTCAGCATCAAGAGTTAAGAGTCGTTTTAAAATCCAGAAAAGCACAGTAAGCTTTGTGACGAAGCTTGTGCAATTCTGTAAAACTTTTCCTAGCTACCTTTGATAGTGTGTTTTAGCAGCAAAATTTTCTTGCAGCCCGAAATGCTCTTGTATCATGAGCTCATACTGGCTAATAAACTTGTAGCCAACTTCAAATGTACGTTCGATCAGACCAGCCGCTTTTCCATCAAATACTTATTTCTCGATGTTCATATTGCCCCAAACTGTATTAACAGCAGTTTTCCAACGAAATAACACTTGGAGTATTGAAGCGTTGGTAGTCTTGTTAATAAAATCCTCATCTGTATTAGCAACTAAGATTTGCCTGTAAAAGAACGTTTTGTAAATAAAGGGCACGTTTTGTAAATAAAGGAGACACTGATGCAATGAAGCCAAGTGAAGGCCCGTTTGGCTTAGAAGAACTTAGTTACTTCCTAACAGGATCATGGCGTCATCGGGTTTTCTTTCCCCGAGAAACCAAAGGCGAAGAAGCGCTAAGATCATGTTAGGTACCAGCTGTTCTCAGACATCCGAAAGAGACTCGCATCAATTAGTGGTGTACTTTTGTAGAGACTGACAGATGTATAAACTTCTTATGAGAAGGGTCCTGTATCACCTGCTGCAACTTATTAGGTGAGAAGGATCATGCTCGTTTCCATTTTCTTGTTTATGTTTTATAATTCCTTCCAGGCGGCACATGGTGTAATAAAGAAGTGAGTCACAGCCACTGCAGTCACCAGATTGCCCTCTCACAGACGAGCAAATGAGTTTACTGAGATGGGTTGACTTTTTACGTGACCATGATAAGATGCAAACTTTACATGGAGGTGGTGAGCCAGAAGAGCATTCCAGACAGAATGTGAATAGACATATTGCCGACCCGGATGTGAAATGGGATGGCGAAACAGCATACAGTCCTTTCAATGAATGCAGCCCTCAAACATCATGTAAAAGGGCGTATTCTGGGAATGATGATCTGGTTGACAGTGACAGACACTGAAGGAGTCGATGGACGGGTGAAAAGATCTCCTTCATGTTGGAAATGTGTCCAGAAAGTAGGATGTAATTTGTTGTTTATGATATGGCAAATATCGGATATCATTGTTTTGCTGACGTTTATAAATAAAATAAATTTATGTTTTAATTCATACTCAAGAGTGTTAGTAATATTGCTTAGTCCATAGACTATTATCAACGAAAGAAGAGTCAGGGAATCCCTGCCGGACAAGCTCTTCTGATATAGTTTAAAATACATATTCGCAGTCTTAGGATCGATTGGGCAATCGAATCCGATTATGATTGTTAGATCGAACCATATGATGCTGGTCTCGGGGCATGGGAGTTGGACTCTGTGGTTGATCTAGACATGGTCACAACATGTTGAATAGACCGAAGAATACGGCTATGCTTAAATCCATCCGTATTCTTCTATCCATTGCTGCTGCCTTAGATTATGAGATCTGACAGATGGATGTGAAGACATCTTTTCTGAATGGCAACCTGGATGAGCGTATTTATATGGCTTAACCAGATGGATTCATTGAAAAGGGTCAAGAAGAAAAGGTTTGTGAACTGCAAAAGTCCATTTATGGACTAAAGCAGGCATCCAGATCATGAAATATCAGATTCGATGAGACTGTTAAAACTTACGGTTTTATTCAGTCGTTGGATGAGCCTTATGTGTATAAGTTAATACAAGAAGGCAAAGTGGTTTTCTTAGTCTTATATGTGGATGACATACTACTCATTGGGAATGACGTAGGAAGACTGACTGAGGTTAAGCTCTGGCTTGCAAAGCAATTTGATATGAAGGATCTAGGAGAAGCTGCCTATGTTCTGGGAATTCAAATCTTTCGAGATTGAAAGAACAGACAATTAGCACTGTCTCAAGCGTCCTATATCGATAAGGTAATGGACCGATTCGCCATGCAGAACTCCAAGAAGGGGTATTTACCCTTTAGACATGGAGTATCCCTCTCAAAGGAGCAGTCTCCCAAAACTCCTCAAGAAGAGGAAGACATGAGCCAAGTTCCTTACGCTTCAGCCGTAGGAAGCCTCATGTATGCGATGCTTTGCACCAGACCTGATATATGCTACGCGGTAGGCGTGGTGAGTAGATTCCAGTCTAACCCTGGACCCGAGCACTGGGTTGCTGTCAAGCATATCCTCAAATATCTTAGGAGAACGAGGAACTACATGCTTGTGTACTCAGGTACTGACCTGACCATGACGAGTTACACCGACTCTGATTTCTAATCGGATAAGGATTCCAGGAAATCCACTTCAGGATCAGTGTATATCCTAAATGGAGGTTCAGTGGTATGGAGGAGTATTAAGCAAACTTGCATAGCTGACTCCACCATGGAGGCCGAATATGTGGCAGCTTGTGAAGCTGCAAAAAAGGCCGTATGGCTTAAGAAGTTCCTTGTTTCACTAGAAGTTGTTCCGGATGCTGATAGGCCCATGGTACTGTATTGTGATAACAGTGGGGCTGTAGCAAACTCTAAGGAGCCTAGAAG